AAGATGTCCTTTTGGGACTCTTCTATTGTCTGTTGTCACCGGGGGGGGGGGCAGCTGAAGAGCCCCACTGATGATCTAACAGAGTTAGAAGTCAACTGGAACTAGATAGGACAGTGGTTCTCCACCTGTGGGTCGGGACCCCATTTGAGGTCGAACGACAATTTCACGGGGGTCGCCAAACAACGCAGTCCGCCATTTTTTCCCCCTTTTCCTTAGCTGTGCTACTCTCTTTTATTCTATTGGCTTTTGAAAGCCAATAGAAGAGACTCTCTTGAATAGAGTCTAATTCTATTGGCTTTCAAAAGCCAATAGGAATTGTCCAGGCTGCCTCTGCCCTGCTGAGCCCACCAAAAGTCCCATTCTGCAAACGGTGCTGCACCAGTTGAGTAGTCCTCGACTTACAACCGGTTGAGTAGTCCTCGACTTATGACCGGTTGGGGGGGGGGGTCACGGGATTAAAAAGGTTGAGAACCATTGAGATAGGAGGTCCTCTACACAAGACGGAGCTTCCTTACCTAAGTTCTCGAGGTGTTTCAGCTGCAGAAATTGGTTCCCAGTTTCTACGAGGAGAAGAGTAGAGAGTTGGAGTTGAATCAAGGGTTCTCCAAGGCGTGACTTTTGAAAATGTGCCGGCTTGGGATGGCACAATGATTGTTTTTTATGGTCCTGGCAAGAAATCTAATTTCCCACCTCCAGATCTTCTGGAGATTAGCTCTCAGTTGTTTCACTCCTGCTGGGAAACACCTTGCAGTCTGCCGGATCACCAGCGGTACATCGAAAAGCTGTGATCCTTTCCAGATGTTTTGGGGCTGCTGGTTGCGAACCCGTAAGCTCCAGACACCATATGCCATGTGGGGGGGGCGCCTAGTTGGGGAGAGTCTGTACAATGTGAATGAGATAGGTCAGTGGTTCTCAACCTTTTTAATGCCGCGACCCCCCAACCGGTCGTAAGTCGAGGACTACTCAACCGGTCGTAAGTCGAGGACTACTCAACTGGTGCAGCACCGTTTGCAGAATGGGACTTTTGGCGGGCTCAGCAGGGCAGAGACCGCCTGGACAATTCCTATTGGCTTTGGAAAGCCAATAGAATTGGACTCTATTCAAGAGAGTCTCTTCTATTGGCTTTCAAAAGCCAATAGAATAAAAGGGAGTAGCACAGCTAAGGAAAAGGGGGGAAAAATGGCGGACTGCGTTGTTTGGCGACCCCCGTGAAATGGTCTTTTGACCCCAAATGGGGTCCCGACCCACAGGTTGAGAACCACTGAGATAGGTAGATATTAGAACCATCCTTAAGATAATAATAAATGGGAAGGGACCTTGGAGGTCTTCTAGTCCAACCCCCTGCTCAAGCAGGAGACCCTATATTGTTGTGGGCAAACAGTTGTCCAATCTCTTCTTAAAAACCTTCAGTGATGGAGCACCCACAACTTCTGGTGGCCAGCTGTTCCACTGGTTAATTGTTCCCACTGTCAGGAAATTCCTCCTTAGTTCCAGGTTGCTTCTCTCGTTGATGAGTTTCCACCGGTTGTTGTTTTTTTTGTCTTGACTTCTGATGCTTTGAAGAATAGGTTGAGTCCTTTTTCTTTGGGGCAACCCCTGAGATATTGGAAGACTGCTGTCATGTCACCCCCTCGTCCTTCTTTTCATTAAACTAGACACCTCCAATTCTTGCAAATGTTGGGCATGGCTAGTTCAGTTCACTAGTAGAATTTGTCCCCCCCACCCCGAAGATGGTGATGGCTTACAGCAGTGGTTCTCAACCTTTCTAATGCCGCGACCCCATAATACAGTTCCCCATGTTGTGGTGACCCCCAACCACTTATACATCACCGGGTGCCAGGGGCGTGGCCAAAGAAAAGGGGGGAAAAATGGCAGACAGCCTTGTTTGGCGACCCCCGTGAAATGGTCGTTCGACCACAAATGGGGTCCCGACCCACAGGTTGAGAACCACTGGCTTATAGCAAGGTTTACCAACCTCGGCGACTTTAAGATGGGTGGACTTCAACTCCCAGAATTCCCCAGCATGGTTTTTTTCCCTCCTACCGTCTAGAGCAGAGAGATTGCAGAGGAAAGGATTACAAGAGAGTAAGCATGCCGCAATGGATATATATATCAAAAGGAATGCATTAGTGCCAGGGAATTCTGGGAGTTGAAGTCTTCCAAGTTACCGAGGTTGAAAAACACTGACCTAACCCATATTTGGTGCACGGGGAATTCTGGGAATAATCTTTTGAAACTGTACGTACAAGAACAGTTGGTAAGGATGTATTGAGAGAGGTGTGTGATTTAGTGGTGGTAGGAAACGTAGCGAGGCCAGCCCTTAAATAAAATTTGATTTAACCACAATTCAAATTACATTAAATTCATTGTGTACAATTAATACCATCGCTCACTCCCCCTCATCATTAATATGGTTGGGTAACAAATTTTGGGGGGGTTCTGAGAGGCAGATCAGCCATTTTTAGGGGTCCTACCCCCCCTCATGCCCGAGAGAAAATGGGCATTGCCAAGGTCACCCCTCCCCCCAAGTCTAGTGGGATGAAGGAAAACCTTGAACAGAGAACATAGAGCTGAAAGGGACCTTAGAGGTCTTCTAGCCCAACCCCGAGCTACTCAAGGCAGGAGACCTTAAGCAGCAGGGAGATAGTGCTACAAAAGTTCATTTTAAGTGCAAACGGCCATTGGAATTAGCTGGGCTATGCACATCTGGAGGAAAGGATGAACTGACTACCAGAAGAGAGAGATCAACTCCTAGAATGGCTCTCAAATGGAGCCGCTCTAGGACTTTGGAGGTGCATCTTGTTTTACGTTTTTGTTTTTTTTATTGATGGAGCCTTGAAAGCTGGTAACATTCTGTCCTATTGATGTTGGCCTCAATTAAGCCATCACTGATCGCTGTGGGTGAACGTAGAACAGGCTGGCTGGGGAATTCTGGGGGTTGGAGGCCATGGAAGGAAGGAAGGAAGGAAGGAAGGAAGGAAGGAAGGAAGGAAGGAAGGAAGGAAGGAAGGAAGGAAGGAAAAGAAAGAAAAGGGGGAGAGAGGAAGGGAGGGAGGGAGGGAGCATGAAGGATGGGATGGAGGAAGGAAAAAAGAAGGAGGGAAGGAAGAAATATGGAGAGAGGGAGGGAGGGAAGGAGGAGGAAGGGAGAATGGAAGAAAAAGGATGGATGGATGGGAAGAAGGAAGGAAGGAAGAAAGAAAGAAAGAAAGAAAGAAAGAAAGAAAGAAAGAAAGAAAGAAAGAAAGAAAGAAAGAAAGAAAGAAAGAGAAGGGGGAGAGAGGGAGGGAGGAAGAGTGGGAGGGAGCATGAAGAAGAAAGGATGGGATGGAGGAAGGAGGGAAGGAAGAAATATGGGGAGGGAAGGAGGAGGAAGGGAGAATGGAAGAAAAAGGATGAATGGATGGATGGGAAGAGGAAGCAAGAAAGAGAAAGAAAGAAAAAGAAAGAAAGAGGAAGCTAGGGAGAGTGGGAGAATGAAGAAGAAAGGATGGGATGGAGGAAGGAAAAGAGAAGGAGGGAAGGAAGAAGGATGAAGAGGGAGAGGGAGGGAGGGAAGGAGGAGGAAGGGAGAATGGAAGAAAAAGAAAGAATGGATGGATGGGAAGGAGGAAGGAAGAAAGAAAAAAAAGAGGAAGGGAGGGAGAGTGGGAGGGAGAATGAAGAAGAAAGGATGGAATGGAGGAAAGAAAGAAGGAGGAAAGGAAGAAGGATGAAGAGGGGGAGAGAGGGAAGGAGAGTGGGAGGGAGGGAGAACGGAAGAAAAAGGAAGGATGGATGGGAAGGAGGGAGGGAGGAAAGAAGGAAGCTTAGCCAGGCTCTGCCCTGAGACACGGGGGGGGGGGGCTGCTGGCCCAGCTGTGCAGACCCTTTCCTAGCCCCCCCCTCTCCTTCCCCTCAGGAAAGGAAGAGGAGGGGCTGAGTGGAAACCGCTAATTAAGACCTCCGTGCGCCTAATTAACGCTCTCCCCTTGCACTGAATTAATTAGGCTCCGGGTTGCCATGGAAATGGGTGGAAATGGGATGTGACCTAGAAACAGAAGCAGGGGTTTCTGGAGGGGAGGGTGTCATTTGATGGGTAGCTTTTCCCCCCCCTCCCCTCCCCTCCCCAAGTGGAATTAGAAAGGGGTTGCAATCTGCCAGACCCCCCCGGGAAGAATCGGGAAGGGCGAAGGTGGAAAGCAAAATCAAACATCTCCAGAAGATGCCGAGAAGTCTGCAGCCTTGGTTTAGTGGACCCTCCAGCCTTTCATGTCCCCCCCACCCCCAGCAATGCCCACCTGGTCCAGGCCCACCAGCATATCTGCCTCCTTAACCCTGGCCTCTGGCTTTCCTGCCCTATTGGCCATCTTCCTCCTCCTCACCTCAAGTGAGGTTGCTCCCCAGAACCACCTGGTGGACATCCAGGTCCTCTGGACTCCTGTTTTCCTTCCGCTCTAGCCCTAGTCTCCTGCCGCCCCCAGCCTCTCCTCTCCTGGGCTGACCACCCGGGCCTCTTCAAGTAGTCCTTGGGTCTTCTCAACTGTGGCTTCTCCGTGCTTTGTTGGGTTGAGGGTCCCTTGGGTGGTCTTTGAGCTGGGTGCTTCTCTTGCAGGCATTCCATGACCCAAAGTAGGTAACGTCATCAGCGCCGGTCAATTCTGCTTTCTTGGTTGGGCTCCTGGCTGCAACCCAACCGTGGTTACTTGAAGGCAGCCAGGTCCTTTGATGGGTAGGGCGCCCCCAATCCTGTGGCCTGGGGTTCTTCTGCTTTTATGACCCCCCCCTCCTTGCGATGGAGGCTTCCTGGGTGCAATTCTGGAGGGACCACAGCAGGTGCTTGGGTCTTCAGAAGACCAGACTCAAGGGGTCCTTGAGTCTTCAGAAACCAAGATGGCCTCGTGAGGGCCTTCCGATGTGGCGGCTGTAGGCAGCTCCTGATCGGGATGGGCTCAACGGGTGGAGACTGCTACATCTTGGCTTCCTCTGCCTCATGCTGACTTCCTTTCTCGCCCCCACAGATATCCGAGACAGTGGGAAAAAACCCGTGATGCTTTTCATCCATGGCGGATCGTACATGGAAGGCACCGGAAACATGTTTGATGGCAGTGTGCTGGCCGCCTATGGAAATGTGATTGTTGTCACCCTCAACTACCGTCTCGGCGTGCTGGGTATGGGGAAGAGGGGTCCCAGGCTCTGCCTCGGGATGGAGTGGGGGGGTTGACCCCAGAGGTCAGGAATTTGCCCAGAAGTCCATCCTTGGGGGGGAGTCAAGCCCCTTTCTTTCCCCATAAATCAGGGGTCCCCAAACTTGGCAATTTTTACGACTGGTGGACTTCAACTCCCAGAATTCTCCAGCCAGCCATCTAGATCGGGGGTGTGTGTGTGTGTGTGTCTCCATTTCGCAATTTTAAGACTGGTGGACTTCAACTCCCAGAATTCCCCAGCCAGCAAACTAGGCCCCTTTCAACTTATATTTTGTACTTTAATTTTGTTTGGAATAAAATAAAAGCACGTTTTAAAAAAAGACTGGTGGACTTCAATTCCCAGAATCCCTCAGCCAGCAAACTGGGCCCCTTTAAGGCGATGCTGCCTGAGGAATTCTGGGAGTTGAAGTCCACAAGTCTTAAAGGGGTAGGTCTAATTCAGCTGCTTCTTGGGTCAAGCGCCCACACAGGTGGAAACAGACCTGTCAGATCCCTTTTCTTTCCCATAAACCAAGGGTCTCCAAAGAGGGCAACTTTAAGACTTCTGGACTACAGCTCCCAGAATTCCCCAGTCAGCATGAAGAAATGTGGCTGGATTATCTTGATCACTTTTTTTGATTGGTTAATTCTTTTAATAGATGGTGGGAATGCGGTCAATGTAATATACCTTGATTTCAGCAAACGAAAATGAAACAACCCATGAGAAACTAAATTAATAAACAGTTAAATGTGGACTAGATGGATGACGATTCTCTGGGAAACTGATATGCTGGCTTGGGAATTCTGGGAGTTGAAGTCCACCTGTCTTAAAAGTAGCCAAGGTGGAGAAACACAGACTTAGATAGTGGGATTTGAAGGATGGCTTTAAAAACTGTTGTTGTGGTGGCCCATTCCTAATTTGCAGTGTAATAGAACACTGTGCAACAAAACGCACAATCCTGATTTTCAATTGTTTTCCCACTGGTCCTCATTTGTGCAACAAAATCTCATTTTAATGTATACTGGTTAGTATACATATAAAGTGACAATAAAGTCATTCTATCCTATCCTATCCTATTTATTCTGTTCTGTTCTATTCTATTCTCCTATATTTATTCTATTCTATTCTATATTATATTCTCTATTCTGTAATTCTATTCTATTCTTTATTCATTCTATTCTATTCTATATTATATTTTCTATTCTGTAATTCTATTCTATTCTATATTCTATTTTATTTATTCTATTCTGTTCTATTCTATAATATATTTTCTGTTCTGTAATTCTATTCTATTGTGTAATTCTATTCTATTCTTTCTATTCTATTCTATTTTATTCTATTCTCCTATATTTATTCTATTCTATTCTATATTATATTTTCTATTCTGTAATTCTATTCTATTCTATTCTATTCTGTTCTATATTCATTCTATTCTGTTCTGTTCTGTTCTATTCTATTCTCCTATATTTATTCTATTCTATATTATATTTTCTATTCTGTAATTCTATTCTATTCTTTATTCATTCTATTCTATTCTATATTATATTTTCTATTCTGTAATTCTATTCTATTCTATATTCTATTCTATTCTATTTGCCACTGTACACACACACACACACACACACACACAAACCAGAATGGCACATTGTTAAAAATGTTGCATTTGCAGCCCTTCGCTCTGGATGGTGGGCCCTGTAGTACAGCAAGCAGTTGTGCAGCTACGAAGGGCGGAGGATCCCTGATTTTTGAGGCTGGTGATGCCAGCTGGGCCTTAAAACCAGCCGCGGACACCGCATCGGCACGGGGCGTGGCTCCGCTCCTCCTCCCTTCCCCTTTTCTCTCCCCCCTTCTGGGTGTGAAATTTACCCAGGCAACAGCAGAAATTAATATTTCATTAAAAAAGTGTTGAATAATTAATGGCCGGGCCTCGTTATCTCCAGCAAAAGAGCCCCGGGACGGAGGGATGATGGATTTCGAAGGAGATGGGTCACAAGCTGGTGCAAATGTTTAGCCCAGGCAAAAAAAGAGAAGAGAAGATATAAAAAGATGCTTTCCGATCGATCGCGTGCTTCGGCTTCTTTTTTTGTTTAAAATAGACGCAAAGCCATTTCCGTGGCTGGAATTACTAGGCTGGGCTGCCTGATCGAAGCGCACGGGTGCAAAAGTGGAATCAGGCCTCTGAGAAAGCAGAAGGGTCGAGAAAAATCAAGAAAAAGTTCGTGGGAAAAAAAATCTGGGCTTTGGTTTTGATAAGTCAGGAGTCTCCAACCCTCGCCACGTTGTGGACTTCAACTCCCAGAATCCCCCAGCCAGCATATCCCTTTGTCAGGGAATTGTCATGCCATCGAGCCCACCTTTAACTCTTTTATTAATTTAGCTTACCATGGGTTTATTTTTTCACATTGCTGAAATCAAGGTATATTACGTCGACCACACTCCCACCATCGGTTAAAAAAATGGCCAGTCAAAAAAATGTGATGTAGATAGTGGAGCAGCTGAGATGATCCAAGGCCTGGAGACTAAAACATACGAAGAACGGCTGCGGGACTTGGGTTTGGCTAGTCTAAAGAAAAGAAGAAATAGGGGAGACAGGATAGCTGTGTTCCAGCATTTGAGGGGCTGCCACAAGGAAGAGGGGGTCACATTATTCTCCAAAGCACCAGAGGGAAGAACGAGAAACAATGGTTGGAAACTGATCAGAGAGAGAAACAACCTGGAATTAAGGAGAAACTTCCTGACAGGGAGGACAATTAACCACTGGAACAGCTTGCCACCAGATTTCGTGGGCGCTCCATCACTGGATATTTTTAAAAAGAGACTAGACATTATTCTATTCTATTCTATTCTATTCTATTCTATTCTATTCTATTCTATTCTATTCTATTCTATTCTATTCTATTTCTTATTCTATTCTATTTCTTATTCTACTCTATCCTATCCTATCCTATTTCTTATTCTACTCTATTCTATCCTATCCTATTCTATTCTATTCTGTATTTCTATTCTATTCTATTCTATTCTATTCTATTCTATTCTATTCTATTCTATTCTATTCTATTCTATTCTATTCCATTCCATTCCATTCCATATATTCTATTTTATTCTATTCATTATTCTATTCTATTTATTCCTGTTCTATTCTATTCTATTCTACTCTACTCTACTCTACTCTATTCCTTATTCTATTCTATTCTATTCTATTCTATTCTATTCTATTCTATTCTATTCTATTCTATTCCTTATTTCTATTCTATTCCTTATTTCTATTTTATTCCTTATTTTTTTCTATTCTGTTCCTTATTTCTATTCCATCCCATATTCTGTTCTATTCCATTCCATTCCATGTATTCTATTTTATTCTATTCATTATTCTATTCTATTTATTCCTGTTCTATTCTATTCCATTCCATTCCATTCCAGCTGGTTGGGGAATCCTGGGAGTTGAAGTCCACTCGACTTTAAAGTAGCCAGGCTTAAAAATCACTGCTACAAACCCAGAGAAAGATGGACCCATGTGAACCGTTGCTCTGGCTGGGGGTGGTCACCTACCACCACGGTTCTCGTTCCCTGTGTCTGATTCTTTCCCTTTCTCCTCTGAACGGCAGGCTTCATGAGCACCGGCGACCAGTCAGGCAAGGGGAACTATGGTCTCTTGGACCAGATTCAAGCCTTGAGGTGGCTGAACGAGAACATCGGTCATTTTGGGGGGGATCCGGAGCGCATCACCATCTTCGGTTCCGGAGCCGGGGCCTCCTGCGTCAACCTGCTCATCCTGTCTCACCACTCGGAAGGTAATTCTGCGTCTGCTGGGGATTATGGTTACGGTAGTGGTGGTGATATTGTCCTGGTCGTAGTGTCAGGGGCGAAAAAAACCGGGAACCAAAGGCGTCCTCGACTTATGACCACAATCTGAGTCCAGAATTTCCCTTGCTAAGCCAGAGGGCTGCGAAGTGAGATTTTGCCCTGATTTATGGTTGTTAGGTGAATCTGGTGTCAAAAGGCTCGCGTGACCCCAGGACGCAGCGAAGGTCATGAATAGGAGTCAGTCGCCCAGAGTGTGAATCTTACTTAGGTGATTGTGGGATGGTGCAGCGGGTCGTAAGTGTGAAACACCTGCGTAAGTCACTTTTTTTCAGTGGCATTGTAACTTCAAACGGTCACTAAATGAACTGTTGTAAATAGAATAAGAAATAGAATAAGAAATGGAATAGAATAGAATAATAAAATACAGAATAGAATTTATTTATTTATGAGACTTATATACCGCTTTAAGTGCAAGCACTCTCTAAGCGGCGTACACCAGTAAGCAATGTATATATATATATATATTTACATTGCCCCCAACAATCTGGGTCCTCATTTTACCTACCCCGGAAGGATGGAAGGCTGAGTCAACCTTGAGCCGGTGATTTGAACCGCTGACCTGCTGAACACAGTCAGCTAAAGTGGCCTGCAGTACTGCACTCTAACTGCTGCGCCACCTCGGCTCATATAGAATATCACTTGGTTGCTGACCCCTCTTCTCCTTCCCCACCCCTAGGTTTATTCCAGAAAGCCATCGCTCAGAGTGGCACCGCCATCTCCAGTTGGTCCGTCAACTATCAGCCGCTCAAGTACACCCGGATGTTGGCCTCCAAAGTTGGCTGCGACCACATGGACACCAGCAGTACCGTGGAATGTCTACGGCGCAAGCCTTACCGGGAGCTGGTGGATCAGGACATCCAGCCGGCGCGCTACCACATTGCTTTCGGTCCCGTGGTGGACGGCGATGTGGTCCCCGACGATCCGGAGATCTTGATGCAGCAAGGCGAGTTCCTCAACTACGACATCCTCATCGGTGTCAACCAGGGAGAGGGCTTGAAGTTCGTGGAGGATTCCATGGAGAATGAAGACGGCATCTCGGCCAGCTACTTCGACTTCACCATCTCCAACTTTGTGGATAACCTCTACGGCTACCCGGAAGGGAAAGATATCTTACGGGAGACCATCAAGTTCATGTACACCGACTGGGCGGATCGAGACAACGGCGAGATGCGTCGGAAAACTCTTCTGGCCCTCTTCACGGACCACCAGTGGGTCGCGCCAGCCGTGGCCACTGCTAAGCTCCACGCCGAGTATCAGTCACCTGTCTACTTCTACACGTTTTACCATCACTGCCAGACGGATACTCGTCCCGAGTGGGCGGACGCGGCCCACGGGGACGAGATCCCCTACGTCTTCGGCGTCCCCATGATTGGGGCCACGGACCTCTTTCCTTGCAACTTTTCCAAGAACGACGTCATGCTGAGCGCCGTGGTCATGACCTACTGGACCAATTTTGCCAAGACAGGGTGAGATTTGTAATGGTGATGTGGATGGAGGACGATAAATCAGTGGTTGTACCAATTGTAATAGGAGCGCTTGGAGCAATACCCAAAGGGTGGCCTAGAACAGAGGTCCCCAATCTTTCTAGAGTGGCAGCCCGGAGGGAAAGGAAGCGGGAGGCAGGGGGCTGTGTGCGTGCAATGCAAACGGAGGCGGTGCGAGTGCGTGCAAGATGCTGGGGGTGGAGCTACTGCCCACGCAACACGGGGAGCGGGCCTAGCGTCTGCACAAAGCTGAGCGCGGCATGAGCTCCTGCACAAAGCTGGGGCAGTGTGAGCGCCCATCCGACACTGGGAGCGGGCCTAGCGCCTGCGCGAAGCTGGGGGTGGGCCTAGCGTCCTTGTGACATTGGGGTGGGACTAGCGCTCATGTGATGCTGGGAGCGGGGCTAGCGAAACTAGGTGGCATGAGCGACCGTGTGACACTGGAAGTGGACCTATCGTCTGCACGACGCTTGGGATGGCCTAGTGCCTGCGCGACACTCAGGGTGGGGCTAATGCAAGGCAGGGTGCACGCACACTGGCCAGCCATTCACACGGCCGGTGGTCAAGAAGCCTGGTACTGGGCTGCAGCCCACAGATTGGGGACCCCTGGCCTAGAGGCATGGAAATGTTGAACTTATCAGACCTGAATATTTTGACTTTCCAAAAAACCACCCTACTCGGGACTGCCTATAAATTCGGACATAACCTTAACAACTCTTAAGTCCTTGGTTAGGACTTGGACTGTTAAGCTTTTACCAGGCCCCAACGATGAATTGAAATGAAGATTAAATCTTAAGTAATGACAATAACATCATAAAGTCAGAAGGGCGAGCGAAGAGTCGTTTAGGTAGCCAGCATCTAGATTAAGATACAGGCAGTCTTTGGCTTACAACATTTCGTTCAGTGACCGGTCAAAGTTACAGTGGCACTGAAAAAAGCGACCCAGTGTTCCCACTTATGACCGTTGCAGCCTCCCCACGGTCAGGTGATCCAAATGCAAACACTTGGCTCATATTTACGGCGGTCGCAGCGTCCCCGGAGTCACGCCATCCCGTTTTGCGATCTTCCAACAAGCCAAGTCTACGGGGAAGCCGGATTCACTTAACAACCGGGCCATTGGCTTAACGACTGCAGTGGTTCGCTTAGCGACTGTTGTAAAACGGGGCCAAATTCACTTAACAGCCGTGTCACTTAGCCGCAGAAATGTTGGGCTGAGTTGTATCTGCAGAGCAGTGTTTCCCAAACTTGACAATTTTAAGGCATGTGGACTTCAACTCCCAGAATTCCACAGCCAGCGTTGCTGGCTGTGGAATTCTGGGAGTTGAAGTCCTCATGCCTTAAAATTGTCAAGTTTGGGAAACACTGCTGTAGAGGTTTGATAACGTACGTGCATGAGATGGGTGTTCCGTCAGTCAGAAGAAGGGATGGGAGAAAGCTGGAGAATATTCTATTTCTTTGAAGGCTTGGAAGGAAGTTGGTTAGAAGGGTGGACCTCTGGTTTGAGGGCCAGCAGAGGTCCATAAGATTTGGTGTCCTGGGAAACAGAAAGGGGTATCTCCACCCCACACGAACTGGAGCTGCAGAGAAGGAACTCTCTGGAATGCCTGGTGTGGCGGAAGGGATGGAGGTCATGGCCGACATTAAGCCAAGATCGAGATCCTGGTCAGTCCTAGTAGGATCCGAGCCAAGGAGAGTTAGTGATCCAAGTCAACAACGTGGGAGAACTCCTTGCCAATAAAAGAGAATATTTGTATCTCGGGGTGGAAATGTGGGGTTTTTGGTGGTCTTCTGAGCTTGGTGGTTTTCTTGCAGACGTTTCATCACCCATCTAGGCAACATCATCAGTGTTAGAAGAGAGTGATGTTTGTGGAGAGGAGGAGGAGGAGGAGGACGACGACTGAGGGGTCCTTGATGCTCTCTTAGCTTGATAGTTTCCTTGCAGATGTTTCATGACCCAACTATGTAACATGATCAGTGCTAGAAGAGAGTAATGTTTGTGGAGAGGAGGAGGAGGAGGAGGCTGTGGGGTTTTTGGTGGTCTTCTGAGCTTGGTGGTTTTCTTGCAGACGTTTCATCACCCATCTAGGCAACATCATCAGTGTTAGAAGAGAGTGATGTTTGTGGAGAGGAGGAGAAGGGGGGGAGGAGGACGACTGAGGGGTCCTTGGTGGTCTCTAAGCTTGGTGGTTTTCTTGCAGACATTTCATTACACAAGTAGGTAACATCATCAGTGCTAGAAAGTGCAATCCCCTTCTAGCACTGATGATGTTACCTGGTCAGGTCACGAAACATCTACAGGAAAACAACCAAGTCAAGATATATTAAGTTTCCCGCATTCCCACCATCTATTAAGAAAGTTACCCAATCAAAAAAAAATGCGACAAATGTAGTCCAACCGTGTTTCTTCTTGTCCTACCCAGGTAAATTCTGGTAAACTCTTCCTGATTGAGGAATTCTGGGAGTTGAAGTCCAGAGGACTTAAAGCGGGCATATTTGGAGACCCCGGTTTAAAGAAATAATTGGTTGAGCATTGGCAACCTCCAGAAAGAAAAGCAAAATTCCTGACCCCCCCTCTAATTTCAAGGCAATGCCCACCTCCAAGCTTATACTGCCCCCCCCCAAAAAAACAGGGCAGCTATCCTAGTTTTGGGCGGGGGGAACCCAGAAGCTGTGGCATGGAGGCTGGCAGAAGAAATGTGGTTTATTTGACCCCTGCCCTTCTCCTAGTGCCAGCTTTCCCCCAGCCCACCAGGTATTCTCAACCCCAGCTCCCATCATCCTCAGCCAGCGGAGACCAAGGCTCAAATCAGAACTATTGAGATGAGCCCAGAGATGCATTTATGCAGTCTGCGTCATGTGTGAACAGGTATCCCGGAACAGAGATGGGCAACTTGTAGGTTGCGTTGGGATACAGACGCTGGATCTCTCCTGGGTCTTAGAACACAGTGTGAATGGCATTTTGGAAGACTTTTCGTTGGCAAACAAAACAGGAGCCTTGATGTCACAAGGTCCAATTTAGCGTTTCTCAAATGTGGCCGCTTTTAAGATGAGTGGACCGAAGTCCATGAACAGCTTCTGGACATTTTTTGGGTCTTTAACATTCGTCTTTTCCCCGTTAGAAAGATACCCTTCCCAGCTACACGTTCCACAAACGGTGTCTGCTTCCCAGAATCCCTCAACATGTCAGAAAATTGGCCACGTCCGTGTTTGATGGACAGTGCCACGGTTTGCAGACCTGAGAGAAGAGTCCTAGGATCAGACATAGGGATGGGAGTCTTCCGTGAGGTTTGCTCGATCCAGGGTAGCTATCTCTGGTGGGTCAGCCGCTTTTAATAACAGAATAACCAGAGCTGGAAGGGATCTTGGGGGGTCTTCTAGTCCAGAGGTCCCCAACTTTTGGGGCACCAGGGACCGGTTCCGTGGAAAGAGGTTTTCCCGCAGACCGGAGGGTCCATGGTTTTGTGTGCTGCCTGCATCCCGCAGATAGGGCTTGGCTTGTTTGTGCGGACCAGTTGTTGACATGCCGTGGCCTGGTACCGGTCCACAGACCAGAGGTTGGGGACCCCTGCAGTAGGGGCTCCCCTCGGAACAGAGATGCGACCTGCTTTGGGGGCACAAAAGATAACAGGGTAGGAAGGATCGGTCAGTCAAGATTCCTCAGCGCCTATGGATCTTATAGTGATCCATAAAAGACCTGGCGCAAGTGGGGCTGAGAGCTGGAAGGGATCTTGGGGGGTCTTCTAGTCCAGAGGTCCCCAACTTTTGGGGCACCAGGGACCGGTTCCGTGGAGAAAGGTTTTCCCGCAGACTGGAGGGTGCGTAGTTTTGTGTGCTGCCTGCATCCCAAGGATGGGGATGTGCTTGTTTGCATGGACCGGTTGCTGGCATGCCGCAGCCCAGTACCGGTCCACAGATCGGGGGGTTGGGGTCCCCTGTTCTAGTCCAACCCCCTGCTCAAGCAGGAAACACTACACCAGCAGTTCTCAACTTGTGGGTCGGGACCCCATTTGGGGTCGAACGACTATTTCACGGGGGTCGCCAAGCAACGCAGTCCGCCATTTTTTCCCCCTTTTCCTTAGCTGTGCTACTCCCTTTTATTCTGTTGGCTTTTCAAAGCCAATAGAAGAGACTCTCTTGAATAGAGTCTCATTCTATTGGCTTTCAAAAGCCAATAGGGATTGTCCAGGCTGTCTCTGCCCTGCTGAGCCTGCCCAAAGTCCCCTTCTGCAAACGGTGCTGCACCAGTTGAGTAGTCCTCGACTTACGACCGGTTGAGTAGTCCTCGACTTACAACCGGTTGGGGGTCGTGGCATTAAAAAGGTTGAGAACCACTGCACTACACCCTTCTGGACAAATGGCTGTCCAGCTTCTTAAAAACCTCGCCTTCTGGAGGCGAGTCGTTCGACTGGTTAATTGTTCTCACTCTCAGGAAGTTTCTCCTTAGTTCCAGGTTGCTTCTCTCCTTGATTAGTTTCCGTCCGTTGTTTCTTGTCCTGCCTTCAGGCGCTTTGGAGAATAGGTGGACACCCCCCACTTCTTTATGGCAGCCTTCAAATATTGGAAGACTGCTATCATGCCCCCCCTAATCCTTCTCTTTGTTAGATTAACAGAATAGCAGAATTGGAAGGGACCTTGGAGGTCTTCTAGTCCAGCCCCCTGCTCAAACAGGAGACCTTGTACCATTCCAGACAGGGGGCTGTCCAGTCTCGTCTTAAAAGCCTCCAGTGATGGAGCACCCACAACCTCTGGAGGCAAGGTGTTCCGCTGGTTAATTGTCCTCACTGTTAGGAAGTTTCTCCTTAGTTCTGTGTTGCTTCTCTCCTTGATTAGTTTCCACCCATTGCTTTCTTTCTCCCCCTCCCCACAGGGACCCCAACCAGCCTGTGCCGCAGGACACCAAGTTCATCCACACGAAGCCCAACCGCTTCGAGGAGGTGGTGTGGACCAAATTCAACACCAAGGACAAGCAGTACCTGCACATCGGCCTGAAGCCCCGCGTGCGGGACAACTACCGTGCCAACAAGGTGGCTTTCTGGCTGGAACTGGTGCCCCACCTCCACAACCTCCACGAGCCCCCCTACACCTCCACCACCACCCGGGTGCCCCCCTACGTCACCCGCTGGCCCAGCACTCGGGTGGGGCCAAGCACAACGCGCCAGCCCATCGCCACCCTTCCTCCGGACGAAGACGACGTCGCCCGTCCGCCGCGGTACGTGCCGTTCCCGGGAGACTCGCGGGACTACTCCACCGAGCTCAGCGTGACGGTGGCGGTGGGCGCCTCCCTGCTCTTCCTGAACATCCTGGCGTTTGCCGCCCTGTACTATAAGCGGGACAGGCGCCACGAGCTGCGGAGCGGGCGGCGGCTCAGCCCTCAGCGCAGCGCGGCCAACGACCTGGTGCACAGCGGCCACGAGGAAGAGATTATGTCGCTGCAGATCAAACATTTGGAGCACGACGCGCACGATCTGGAGCCCTTACGACCGCATGAAATCCTACGCCCCGCCTGCCCTCCCGACTACACCCTGGCACTTCGCCGGGCACCAGACGATGTGCCCTTGATGACCCCGAACACCATTACCATGATCCCCAGCACCATTACGGGTATGCAAGCCTTGCACCCTTTCAACACCTTCCCCACTGGACACAACAACACCCTCCCTCACCCTCACTCCACCACCCGTGTATAGTTGTCCTCGGTGCCCAAAGCCCCCCCTTCGGTGGGAGGGGGGGAGTCTCTTGCCAAGCTGCCCCTAGGGGAGGCCCTCTTCCTGCCCCGTGGCTCGTACAGGCCTTTTATATCACACTGTGGGGGGAACGGCAACAGAGGGTGGGGTCGGCAGCCCCTTTGCCCAGATCCGGTGGCGCTTCGGCGCGTCCACCATCCTCCTAGATGTGGTACGGTAACGGAAGCCCAACCCGCGTGGGCAGCTGCCATCCTTCCAAGGAGTCACGGCGTGGAGTTGGGGGGGGGGGGAAGAACGGCGTCCTTCCACTCGCGTGTAGAGAAATGTCGGGAAAGTGGTCGTGCATTTGGAGGCTATTTGGGGGCTCAGGTCGCTGGGGAGTCCAAGAGAGAGTGAGAGAGAGAATAAAGGGGGGGTTGGAGAGGGCCTCCCCTCTTCAGAATGAGGGAAATGCCCCGGTTAGGTTTTGCGAGGTGTTTCAGGAGTTGGACAAGCCAGGTTTAAACGTGGTTATTGAAGTGTGGAAGGAAGGAGGGAGGGAGGGAGGGAGGGAGGGAAGGAAGGAAGGAAGGAAGGAAGGAAGGAAGGAAAGGAAGGAAGGAAGGAAGGAAGGAAGGAAGGAAGGAAGGAAGGACCTGCCCACATTTCTATGGCCATCTTCACCCTCTCCTTGATCCACACATTCAGCACCAGATCCCCCCAGAGAGCACCGGTTGCTCTCCTCCATCTTGCTAGGTGGATCAGCCAAAGTTTCTTGAGAGTTTACATCAGGGGCGCCCACCCTTTGTGGCTTTGCAGACTTTGCGGAGGGGGGAGGACGGGGGGAGGGAAATGGTTCCGTGCAAACGGCAGGCGCTCGCACAGATGGAGCGTCACGAGTGCGCAAGAGCGCCTGCCATTTGCGCAAATGGAGCTGTGCGCGCGAGCACCCACGCCTGCCGCTTGCATGGCCCGCTTCCAGACGGGCCGTGGCCCTGTACGGGGTCGCGGTCCTGGGTTGGGGGACCCCGGTTTAGAGCGTCAAGGGCAGGACCGGGCCCTTGGTCATCGGTGTTCTCAATGGGTTGGGTTTTTTTGTGTGTGTGTGTCTTTCTCCACGACAGTCCTGGGTAGGGAACATCTGGGTTAGGCCATCTGGGAACAGATGCTCCGCCTTCCATCTGACGTGGGGTGGAGGGCCCCGGGACGAGGGGGCCACGGGTGGGCGTCCCACCGACCGGGAAAGCAAAGTGGATCTGGCTCCTTCCTTCTGGAGCGGAGGGTCCCCCCGTTTGAAGAGGGAATTCTGTCTCTTTCTCACGTCCAGAAAAAGACCCTTCTCGGCCGACCCCAGCAGCCTTGGCCCACCGGTCTCCAGGGTCCAAGAAGAGAAGGTCCCTCCCCCTCGACCTCTTACTGGACAACTGAACCACCACTTCCTTTCTGCACGGGAAGAAGTAGGGGAGGGGTTTGAGTGCTGGGTGTCTCCTTGTCTGTTCCTTCCTCCCTCCCTCCCTCCCTCCCTCTTTCTTTGTTCCTTCCTTCCTCCCCTCTTTTTTTCTTTCTTTCTCTCTCCTTCCTCCTTCCTTCCTTTTCCCTTCCTCCCTCCCTTTCTTTGCTCCTTCCTTCCCCCTTTCTTTCTTTCTTTCTTTCTTTCTTTCTTTCTTTCTTTCTTTCTTCTCACTCTCTTTTCCCTTCCTTCCTTCCTTTCTTCCTTTCCTTTCTTTCTCTATTCTTTCTTTTCTTTCTTCTCACTCTCTTTCCCTTCCTTTCTTCCTTTCTTTCCTTCTTTCTTTTTCTTTTTTCTCTTCCCTTTCCTCCTTCCTTCCTTCCTTTTCTTTCTTCTTTTTCTTTTCTTTCTTCTCTCTCTTTTTCCCTCCCTCCCTTTCTTTGTTTCTTTCCTCTTTTCTTTTCTTTCTTCTCACTCTCTCTTTCCCTTTCTTCCTTTCTTCCTTCCTTTCTTTCTTCCCTTTCCTCCTTTCTTTCTTTCTTTCTTTTTATTTTCTTCCTTCTCTCTTTCCTTTCCTCCTTCCTTCCTTCCTTTCTTTCTTCTCTCTCTTCCCTTTCCTCATTTCTTTCTTTCTTTTTCTTTTCTTCCTTCTCTCTTTCCTTTCCTCCTTTCTCTCTTTCCTTTCCTCCTTTCTTTCTTTCTTTCTTTCTTTCTTTCCTTCCTTCTTTCTTTCTTCTTTTTTTCTCCTTCCTTCCTTCCTTCCTTCACTCCCACCCTCCCATCCTCAGAATCCTTCCTGCAGCACACAAGAATTTCTTGGGCTGATCCATTGATCCGGGGGGAGGGGGGGCCTGAGTCCCAAACTATTGGGGTGGGGGGTTGGAAGAACCCTAGGGGGAGGCTGGAGGCCTGGAGAAAGCTTGGCATGGGTTCTCCCACCTGTCCTGGCTGGGGGTAGCCGGTGGCTGCCGAGAGGGTCCGGTGGGGCAGCCTGTCACTACCTGTCCAGCCCCACAAGGCAGGACCCCTTGAAGCCCAGCCTACCCTGCTGGGTGGGCCCTTTCCAGCTGTTCCTTCAGCCCCGGGCGCCTCCTGCCGCCCTCCGCCTTGCCCCGTTTCCACCCAGCGTCTTTCTCCTTCCTTCCCTCCCCCCTGGACGGGCACCGCAACTGGCCCCCTATCCATTTCAGGACTCTTGAACAAGTTGCAACGACACTGTGGTTAAATCGGCACTGCAGACCCGGAGGCGGGGGTCCCTATTTGCAGGGGTCCCTGTTTCTTCTGGCCCCCTCCCCTCCCGCTGGCCCTCGGCTGCCAGGTCGGTCTTCTTCTCACTCAGCCCATCTGCTTGTGCCCCCCCCCCTCCCCGGGGTCCTTCCTTCATTCCTGTTGGCTTTGCGCTCTTTCACGCAGCTGGGCTCGCTTCCTTGAGTCGCCTGCTTTTTTTGCCACGATTTGCTCCTCCCTTCTGGCGGGGTGGGGGCAAAAGGGCCCCGTAAATTGTTGACGAGGAGGGGGGAACGATGGTGGGGCGCACCCCCCCCACACCTGTCTGGAGCTCTTCCGTCTTACAAACCCCCTCCCCTCCCCCCTTGCAAAGAACCCCCGTGTCTTCTCCAGCACCTACTCGTTTACCGACCGCTCCAAGTTATGACGGCGCTGAAAAAAGGGACTTAGGACCACTTTTCACGCTTAATGGCCGTCGCAGCCTCCCCCGTGGTCACGGGATCAAAATTCAGATGCTGGGCAACTGACTCGTATTTATGACGGTCGCAGCGTCCCAGGGTGGGGGGGGTCACACGATCCACTTTTGCAGCCTCCTGACAGGCAGAGTGGATGGGAGAAGCCAGAGTCACTTCTTAAGTGTTACTCACTTAACAAACTGCAGCCATTCGCTTAACAACGATGGCAAAAACGTCGTAAAATGGGGCAGGAATCACTTCGCAACCGTCTCGCTTAGCGGCGGGAATTTTGGGGCTCAATTCCGGTCGTACATATTCTTCCTTTCTGTGGAATTTATAGGCAGCCCTCGACCCCAACGGAGCCCCCAAATTTTCCATCATTGTGAGATATTTCTTCAATGCGCTTTGCCCCATTTTACGACCATCCTTCCCACCGTTGTTAAGTGAATCCATGTGGTTGTTAAGGGAGGAACAAGGTCGTTAAGCGAATTCCGGCTTCCCCCCTTGACTTTGCCGGTCAGACGGTCGTCCGGGACACTGTGACCGTCATAAAATGAGTCGGTTGCCAAGTGCCTGGATTTGGACCCCATGACCACGGGGGGGGGGGGGATGCGGCGAACAGTCGTAAGTGTGAAAAACAGCCATCTGTCCCTTTTTTGAATGCCGCTGTCACTTTGAACCATCACTAAACGAGCAGTCGTAAGCCGAGGACTGCCTATATACATCCCTTCGTTTAATTCGGGTGCATATTCTCTCTCCCTGTGAAAACACAGCATCCATCCTTCCTTTTTGTTTTTCTTAATTTTCTGCCTGCTGCCTCTCGCCTGGTGCCTCTGCTGAGTATCCCAACGGAAGGAAGGAAGGAAGGAAGGAGGGAAGGAAGGAAGGAAGGAAGGAAGGAAGGAAGGAAGGAAGGAAGGAAAGATTAGGGCAGGGGTCTTCAAACTTGGCCCTTTGATGACTTGCAACTCCCAGAATTCCTCAGCTAGTGTGAGGGAACTAGGACCCTTTGATGACTGGTGGACTTCAACTCCCAGAATTCCTCAGCCAGCATGCCTGGCTGAGGAATTCTGGGAGTCGAAGTCCACAAGTCATCAAAGGAGCCAAGTTTGAAGACCCCTGGATTTAGGGGGGGGGGGTAAAGAGAGCTGGAAGGGCAGGAGGGGCCGTTTAGGGCAGGAGGGGCCATTTCGTTCTAAGCCATGGGGGGGGGACCCCCTCAACCTCCCTCTTTGCAAGGTTGGTTTCCTTTTTTTAAAAAAAAAAGAAAGAAAGAAAAGAAAAAAGGAAGATCAGAACAGACTTTATGATGAATAAATATATATCTATATCCGTTTTTTTTAAAAAAGGAAAACCATTATTTTGTAAGAAAAAAAAAAGCCAAATAAATAATAATAATAATAAAGCAACATTTGTGCCAAACTCAGCAGCAGCAGTGGGTGGGTGGGTGCAGGGTGGGAGATAGAGAGAGGGGGGGGCCGTTTTTGCTACCCCTTCTTTGGATGATTTAAAGCAGTGGTTCTCAACCTTTTTAATGCCGCGACCCTCAACCGGTCATAAGTCGAGGACTACTCAACCGGTCGTAAGTCGAGGACTACTCAACGGGTGCAGCACCGTTTGCAGAATGGGACTTTTGGCGGGCTCAGCAGGGCAGAGACAGCCTGGACAATTCCTATTGGCTTTTGAAAGCCAATAGAATTAGACTCTATTCAAGAGAATCTCTTCTATCGGCTTTCAAAAGCCAATAGAATAAAGGGGAGGAGCACAGCTAAGTTAAAGGGGGAAAAATGGCGGACTGCGTTGTTTGGCGACCCCCGTGAAATGGTCGTTCGACCCCAAATGGGGTCCCGACCCACAGGTGGAGAACCACTGATTTAAAGGGGGGGGGTTCTTTTGCTTGGCGGGTTTACATTGGCTTGGGAAAAAAAGAGTGCCACCCTGACCTTAATCGCCTTGGGGCACTCTGGCCATCCTCATCATCATCATCATCATCGCCCCCCCTCCTCTCCACTCATGCCCCCTCCCAACCAGTCCCCTCCGCCATTAGAAGCACACGGTCGCATTTGGGGGTGCAACCCAAGGCGGTTAGATACCCACAAGTCGTTTAAGGCCCTGCCCTGGGGCCAAACGGAAGAGATCCTTGGAATCCACTCCGCCCTGCTCAATCTCCACCCAACCAACCGGCTTCCTTGGAGATCCACCAGATCCGCTCTTGTTCCTGTGTTTGGGGGGGAGTGTCTTTTCTGCCTTTCAAATCGTGGCCAAATTTGTGTCCCCCCCCCCAGATTTTAAGAGGAGAGCGCGGTGTGTGCGGTGTGACTTTCTTCCTCTTGATCTGTGCCCCCCCCCGTCCCCAGCCCACCCTGTGGGGGGGGGTTCTTCAAGAAAGAGACAGGATGCCACTGGGTCGAAATGAGGAAGTGACGAGGAAGAGGATGGGCTGCCTTCCCCCCCCCAATAATCTCCCACTCCCCTTTTGTCTGCTGTGGATATTTTTCACTCTGGGCATGATGGCTGGGCCCCCTTCCCTTCTCCCTCTCCCCCCCCCAACAGAAAGAATCTATTTTTATGAGACTTCGGCCAGGAGGGGGGGTGTCAATTTTTCAAACCACCTTCCTGCACCTGACTTTGAGGAATCTTCTTGCACCCCCCCCCCGACCCCCCCCCAAAACAGAGCCTCCTGCTCCTCCCCCACCGACTGAGACTTTTGTAGCCCCTTCCAGCTCGGTGGGGGGAGGGCTTCTTCCTCCAGCTTCTGGAAGGACCAACCAACCAACAAAATTTTTAAGCTGGTGCTTTTCTTCGCCCGCCCCCCCCCCCAGTTTGTTACGACCTGGATCACGGATGGACGAGCGAGCTCCGGTGTGTGGCGTGGTTTTTTTGAGGGGGGGGTCGTTTGCACACACACACACACACACACCCTCCTCCGAAGACGAGAACTCTGGGGGTGCAAGCGGGGTGGGGGGGGGCAGAGGCCTGGCTGGAGCTGAGATGCTGTACACATTTTTAAACCTTGCAAGACATGGAAAATGATACTGTAAATATAAAACAAAGATTTAATTGTTGAATCGCCTTTTTTTTTTCCTCCCCTGTGGCAGAGTTGGATGGGGGGGCTGGGTGGGAAATCAGACCCCTCCCCAGTAACAGGAGGTCTCATTATCTCCCAAACTTGCCAGACGTCAGCCTGCAATGGACCCCCCCCCCCCCTCCCCAACGCTAACCCGTTTGGAAGCGGAATTCCTGGGGTTGAGTTTGAGGAGCGCGTTTGCCATTTGGGGGGGGGATTCCCACGTGGCGAGAACTCCCCGGCTGAGACGACGCGGGCTGCGGGCTCAGCATCTGGGTTGGCCCACCGCATTATGACCAACCACGGCTTGCGTAACCACGGCTGGCTGGATAAGCCACCATCTGGCTACGCGCAACACGCGGGGGGGGGGCAGAGGAGAGCCGGAGCTGACCCAGCGTTGCGCACCCACGCTGCGCGCTTCCTTCCAGCCCTTCCCTTCTGCGCGCTCCTTCATCGCCTCCCCCCCCTCCATCATCCTTCCGTGGGGAGGGGTCCCACTCCCCTCTCTGGGCGCGTGCAATTGGAGGAGGGGGCTGCATCCACTCCATCCAGCCGGCGGAGTTGCGCCTTGGGTGTGTGTGTTTGGGAAGGGGGGGGGTTCTGCCCGGCCCACGCATCGGGCGCGCGCGTGGGTGGGAGGGGGGGAAGAAAGGGAGCCGCAGAGATGCGGTGGGCGTCGCTGGGAGTCCGCCGCCCCCTCCCCTTCCTCCCCCCTCCCGCCGGGGCGGCTGCTAAAAATAGCCGCTCGCTGCGCTTTCCAGGCTGCGGATGCGCGCTCCGGGTTGGGGGGGGGCGGCGGAGGGGCGAAGCCAGAGCGGGGGGACGTCATCGCTGCCCGCTCGCTTGCCAAGCTCAAAGGTGGGGGGGGGGGTGAGTGGGGGGAAGCCTCGAAGGTCGCGCGCCAGGAAGGGGGCGCAGCTGATGGAGGAAGAGGAAGAGGATGGAGCAGCCGCGCAGCGCATCGGCTGCGCTTTGGAGCGGGGGCCGGAGGGGGTCTGCTCTGGTCTCCCCCCCCTCTCCCCAGGGGAAGGGGCTTCGGAGCCCGCGCGCTCCCCCCCACCCGGGAAGCCACGAGGGTCCCGAACAAGGAGAGCGAGGGTGGAGCAGCCGCGCAGCGCATCGGCTGGACTTTGGGGAGGGGGGCGGAGGGGGTCTGCTCTGGTCTCCCCCCCCTCTCCCCAGGGGAAGGGGCTTCGGAGTCCGCGCGCCCCCCCCACCCGGGAAACCACGAGGGTCTGGAACAAGGAGGGCGAGGGTGGAGCATCCACGCAGCCTTTTTTCGGGGTGGGGGGCGATATAAAGCTTGTTTCTCGGACCCCCGAGGGGTCTCCCCCGAGAAGAAAGGGCGTCGGGGCGCTGTCCCTTCCCACCCCTCGGAACGCGAGTGGCACTCTGCACGTGCTCGCAGCGCACGAAGAGCTGCGGCACGGCCAGAGGTAGTAGATTTTTTGGGGGGGGGGGTCTGGGGTCGGATGGAAAAGCGCCACCCAGAGTGGAAGCTTGATCGTCGGGGTGCGGCCGGAAAAGCACGACGTCTCCCCCCCCCCCAACCCGCTTCAGAGCAACTCTAGGGAAGCTGCCCCCCCCTCAAGTCCCACCATACCCCCGAATGGGCTTTGTTGTGGGGGGGGGGGCAAGGAGCCTGGCACGAAGGCAACCCCCCTCCTCTCGGCGGCGATAGACTATTTTTGGTAACCTGCCCCCCGGGGGGGGCGCAGGGGAACTTCCCACGGCCGTAACCCCATCTGCGTGGACACGCGTGTCAGCTTTTGCGTGGGCGGCGAGGTTTCAGAAGCCAACCCAGAGCTTCCCAACGGGAGGGGGGAGGAGAAAGCCAGCCATGATTACGGGAGGGGGTTCCGGCCAACGTGGGAATCCCGAGCCCCGATGGAAGTTGGAGGAGTCCGCCGTTGCGCGGTGATGGTGGGGGGACTATCACATCACCGCCCCCTCCCCAAAGCTGCTTCGGGTCATTTCACGGTGGGTATCCGAGGCGGGTCAACGGGCAGCGTCTTTCCCTGATTGCATTTCCTCGCGCAGCGGCCCAGGGCCCGCGTTCACACGTGACGGGGTTTTGCACGCGAATCTGGGCCGCGCCAGTGGGCAGGAGATGGTCACTGAAGGTCCAACGTCCCGGGGTGCGCCATGTTGGGGAAGACCGGGTTGGAACATCAGGGCAGCTGTGACCCAAGATGGAGACGCCCTGCCACCCGCCCCCTCCCCTCCCCCGCGTTGCACAGCATCCCTGCTGCCCCCTGGCGGCCCGAGCCGGTCACTGCAGCTCTGCATGACCGCGGTCGTATCCAGACTAGTCGATTGAGAGATACACGGATGCTTCCACGTGCAGTTTTCATGGAAGAACGTGCAGAAATATGGGGGGGAAAGGAACGGGGGGGGGGTAACGTCGGAATGCGTGACTTCACGTGAAAGGGTAGAATAGAATAGAATAGAATAGAATAGAATAGAGGAATATAGAATAGAATAAAAGAATGAAAAATAGAATAGAATAGAGGAATATAGAATAGAATAGAATGGAATTGAGGAATGAAGAATAGAATAGAATAGAGGAATGTAGAATAGAATAAACGAAGAATAGAATAGAGGAGTGAAGAATAGAATAGACCAGTGGTTCTCCACCTGTGGGTCGGGACCCCATTTGGGGTCAAACGACCATTTCACGGGGGTCACCAAACAACACAGTCCGCCATTTTTCCCCCCTTTTCCTTAGCTGTGCTCCTCCCTTTTATTCTATTGGCTTTTGAAAGCCAATAGAAGAGACTCTCTTGAATAGAGTCTAATTCTATTGGCTTTCAAAAGCCAATAGGAATTGTCCAGGCTGTCTCTGCCCTGCTGAACCCACCAAAAGTCCCAGTCTGCAAACGGTGCTGCACCAGTTGAGTAGTCCTCGACTTACAACCGGTTGAGTAGTCCTCGACTTACGACCAGTTGGGGGTCGCGGCATTAAAAAGGTTGAGAACCACTGGAATAGAGGAACAAAGAATAGAATAGAGGAATGAAGAACAGAATAGGAATGAAGAACAGAATAGAACAGAATAGAATAGAATAGAGCTGGAAGGGACCTTGGAGGTCTTCTAATCCAGCCCCCTGCTCGAGCAGGCATACCTATACCGCACCTCCCCACCCCGCGTGCCGGAATATGGGAACGGAGAGCCCCGCGTGGCAGGCAGAGATGCCAGAGAAGGAAAGGGCACCACTGGGAAAAGGCCAAGGGAGGTTTTCGTCTCCTCCAACAGAGGGCGCCGTTGTAAGGGCGCTACCGTAAATCGCAGAAGCAGCAGCCTGCAAGTGCCGCAACTGCGCCCTCCCTTCTCCTTCATGGGATTGGCTCCTGTCCCCTGATCGACGTCCTCAGCCCAACCTCCTAGGCGAATCGGACTGGAGAAGACAAAAAAAAAAAAGAAACGGGAGAAGGAAGGAAGCTCGTTTCCTATTGGATCATTGCTGGAGTCCGTTTCTCTTCCCTATAGCGGGCTCCCCAAGACAGGGCTCTGATACGACCAGGCCGTTCGGGAAGCGGTAGCAAGCGCTGATTGGCTGGGTGGAGCCGCTGGAGGGGCGTGGCTTGCATATGAAAGAGGCTCCGCGCAGCCCGATTGGCTAAGACGCGCCTAGTCGGAAGCGTTCGAACACCCAAGCGGAGGATGGCGGCCGCGGGTGTTTTTTTCCGCCGTCTAGGGGCGCTGAGCGGGGCGGCCGCGGTGGGGGCGGCCGCGTATGGGGCTCACGGTGAGCCGGGGGGGGGGAGACACGACGGGGCTGGCTGGAGTCCGGAGCCAGCCGGGTCGGCCGCGTGGAGAGAGGAAAAACTGGCTGCAATTTGGGGAGGGGTCTTCATGGAGGGGGGGGGTTCTGTGCTAGACGCCTGGAGGGGAGTCAGATTGCGGGGTTCGCTTCCTTTGCAGCGTCCGGCGGGGCCAAGCAATGGGGGGGCTGCTTAGTGGCGCCCCTCGACTTCACCGCGTGCAGACCACCCCATTTGGCAGAATGCCAGCCTGGGGAGGGGGTCGTCCCCGACGGGGAGGGGTCTGCACCGGCCAGACAGACAGAAACCACCCCCCCCCGGGTCCGCCTTGGCGGAGCGAAGTGACCCCGCGGTGGAAGCGCTGGTCTGAAGCCGGCACCCCCCGTGCCGCTGGACGGGGCGGTCCAAAAGCGGGCGGTGGTCTTTCCAAGCCCCCGTCCTCCCCCCCCATTAACCGGCCCTCGCTGCTCTTCTTCCAGGCTTCCATCCGCAGGAACAGCCCGAGTACCTGAAAGAGGTAAAAGACGCCCCCCCCAAAAAAGACCCTCCAATCTTCCCCCCCCCCACCCAGCTGGGTGTCGCGCCAGGATTCTCACTGGGGTCCTGCCAGCAAGGCCGGGGCTGCTCCTGCCCGCTCTGGGAGTGGCGGCTGGGGGTCGTGGGGAGGGGTCGTGGGGAGGGGTCCTGGTGGGGTGGGGGTCGTGCAGGCCCTCACGGTGTGATGCTTCTCTTGCAGCTGTACGGCACAGCCAATAAGTACCACTTCCTGCACAGCCTGGCCCTCTTGGCGGTGCCCCACTGCCGCTACCCCATGCTGGTAGGTATTCTGGGAGGGGGCGTCCCAGCCCCCCCCCGTCCCCAACCTGCTACCTCCCTCCCTTCAACTTCCTCCAGACCAGGCGTCTTGGCCCTTTTATGACTTGTGGACTTCAACTCCCAGAATTCCTCAGCCAGCGTTGCTGACTGTGGAATTCTGGGAGTTGACGTCCACCCTCTTCCAGTTGCCCAGCTCTTTAGAAACTTTACTTAGACTGTGTATATATGTTTACTTTTCTTCTGTCATATTATCATCATACACTAAATCAGTGGTTCTCAACCTTTTTAATGCCGTGACCCCCAACCGGTCGTAAGTCGAGGACTACTCAACCGGTCGTAAGTCAAGGACTACCCAACCAGTGCAGCACCGTTTGCAGAATGGGACTTTTGGCGGGCTCAGCAGGGCAGAGACAGCCTGGACAATTCCTATTGGTTTGGAAAGCCAATAGAATTAGACTCTATTCAAGAGAGTCTATTCTATTGGCTTTCAAAAGCCAATAGAATAAAAGGGAGGAGCACAGCTAAGGAAAAGGGGGGGGGGGAAATGGCGGATTGCGTTGTTTGGTGACCCCCGTGAAATGGTCGTTCAACCCCAAATGGGGTCCCAACCCACAGGTTGAGAACCACTGCACTAAATGATGACGATGATGATGATGATAATATTACTGTGGAATTCTGGGAGTTGAAGTCCACCCCTCTTCCAGTTCCCCTAGCCAGCCCCATAGAAGTTTTACTTAACAATTACACGGACTGTATATATATGTTTACTTCTCCTTGGTCACGTTCTCAATCATACACTAAATAATGATAACAACATCAATGACAATAACAATCACAATCATAATGACTGTGGGATTCTGGGAGTTGAAGTCCACCCCTCTCCCACTGGCCAGGCTTGACCGACATTGCCCTGGAACCTCCTTCGGCTTCTGGCTGCCATTTCTCCATGTACTCCCAGGTGGGGCAGCCAGACCCCGGGCGTCTCCCGGCTCAGCACCGGAAGGGACGTCTGTGGTTTGCAGGGAGGGGCTGACATTAAAGACGTGTTTGTTTTTTATCTCCTGCAGGCTGGCAGCGTCCTGTCGACGGGCTTGGGACTCTTTTGCGGGCCCTTTTATTATCACGCGCTGACCGGCCAGCCGTCCTTCACCCACGTGGCACCCTATGGCGGGAGTCTCCTCATTCTTGGCTGGCTGGCCTTGGTGCCCTGACATCCCCTCGCCAACCTGCGTGTGAACCCCAGGGCTGGGCCAGCCGGACTTCCCTCTGCTGCTGTTCATTCATTTGGGGGGGGGGGGTCAGGAGGGGCCTCGGACCAAGCAGTGGGGGTCTCCCGCCAACTTGCACTTAAATTCTGAAGGGGCTGAATCTTCTCTCTTTTTTTTTAAATGATGAATTAATATGATAATGCAGGGGTCTTCAAACGTGGCCACTTGAAGACTGGTGGACTTCAACTCCCAGAATTCCTGAGGACTGGAGAAGACCCCTGTTATAATGTTTAAAATTTGAAGACCCCTGTTATAATGGCTCCCGATTTGTGAGGGGAAGGAATTTATGCCCAAGGGGTGTTGGGCTTTGCGCAAATGTACAGAATCATGCAGCTTTAATTGTGATTTTAATAAACGGACTTGATTTTACGCCTTCGAGCCACGTCTTTTTTGAGGGGGGACACAGGCAGTCCCTGGTTGAGGAGCGGGGGACACCCAGGGCAAGGGGGTAGGGGCGGGGGGGCTCTCTCTTGGCTTCCCCCACCTCAAGGGAAAACCTTAAGCCGCTTGGATTACACTTGAGGTCAAAGGATGTGGGGTTTGGGATATGCTGGCTAAGGTTTAATGGATAGAAGAACAAGTTGCCCCCCCCCAGAAGTTGTGGGTGCTCCATCGTTGGAGGTTTTCAAGAAAAGATTGGAGAGCCATTTGTCCAAAATAATGTAAGGTCTCCTGCCTTGGGAAAGGGGTTGGACTAAATGACCCCCAAGGTCCCTCCCAGCCCTAGGATTCTATGACCCATGTGTATCTTCCATCCATCCATCTTTTCGTCTCTCTGTCTCTCTAGCTATCTTCCATCATGTCTATCTGTCTGCCATTTCTCTCTGTTTATCATCCTATATGTCTGTCTGTCTTTCTGTCTGCCTTGGGCCCCTGGAGGCTTGACTAGGCCTTTCCACAGCCCTAGAATTCTATGATCCATCTGTCTGTCTTCCATCCATCATGTCTGTCAGTCTATCTATCTATCTATCTATCTATCTATCTATCTATCTATCTATCTATCTATCTATCTATCCATCCATCCATCTATATCTATCTATATCTATGTCTTTCTATCTATATATATCTCTATCACTATATCTATCTGTCTATATCTCTATATCATCTGTCAATATCTATCATCTATCTATGCTTATCTATATCTATACCTATATCTATATATCTGTTTTTCTATATATATCTATATGTATCTATCTCTATCACTATATCAATCTGTCTCTCTATATCTATCATCTATCTCTATCTGTCTCTATCTATCTATCTATCTATCTATCTATCTATCTATCTATCTTTGTCTATCTATCCATCTATCTGTCTATCTATATATATATCTCTATGTCTATCACTATATCAATCTATGTCTATATCTCTATATCTATCATTTGTCAATATCTATCATCTATCTATGCTTATCTATATCTATCTATCTACCTACCTACCTACCTATATCTACCTATATCTCTGTTTTTCTATCTATATATCTCTCTATATTTATCTCTATCTCTATCACTATATCTATCTATCTATCTATCTATCTATCTATCTATCTATCTATCTATCTATCTATCTATCTATCATCTGTTTCAAGGAAAGATTGGACAACCATTTGTCCGGGATGGAATAGGGACTCCTGTTTTGGGTCCCCTGGGGGTTGGACTAGATGACCCCCAAGGTTCCTTCCAGCTGTAGGAGTCTACTCTCCTATATCATAGTCTAACACCCGAGTGATTCCAGTATCGAGCGAGAGGTGGCCCTTTCTGGTGACCACAGATCAACAGTGGAACGTGGCCAAAGAAACTTCGGAATAAAACGCCAACTATGGACCCTCTGCGATATTATTATTTATTAATTTATTTACTTGTTCAATTTCTATAGACGTCCAACTCAACCGAGAGACTCCGGGCGGTGCACCAGTCTAAAATCCTAAAAACAAAACATCCGGGGGGGGGGGGTAGAAAGCGAGTTATGTTTAAAACGTTGCGTAAACTTCCCATAAAAAAAGAAAAACCAGGGCTCAACCCAAATGCTGATGCAAACACCGAATACGATCTAGTTAAAAACACCAGACACAATTTAGGTAAACCCCCCCTCAAAGAAAGTTCCCCAAATATGTCAGTTTTGAGATTTTTGAGTCTGAGTCACGGGAAAAGAGACAGAGACGGTTGGCAAACAAGACAAATTTTTCTGGGAAATGATGCAAGACTGAAAAAAAAACCCTAGTTGGGACATTCGGACGATCCCTGAAAACCAGCCGGGTTCCTTGGCTGGGCAGAGGGAGAAAAGGATGGCATAACAGCCCCCCCAAGACTGAGTTTTGGGGGTTCACTTTTAAGAGGGGCATCGTCACCCTTTGCGGGTGCATTGAAAAAAGCTGGAGAATTGAGAGGCGTAAAGAGGGCAAAAATGGGCACTTCCAGGTGTGATGCAATAAAGGAGGTGCCCTCTGTGGGTCTGCAACACAGACAGTTTTGGGGTGTTGAGGGCACCCCGCCTTTCCCTCCCTCCGAGAGGTTCTGCAGCCTGAAAGACCAGGCCAGATTCTAGCCTTGGGGGCCTAAAAATAGCGATACGTTTATTTTATTGTCATCCCTCGATCAGGATAGAGTGGGACCTTGGAGGTCTTCTAGTCCACCTATACTATTTCTGACAAATGGCTGTCCAGTATCTTTATATTTTTATTTTATTTTGTATCCAACCACTCTGTCCTTTAACCCTGGAGCGGAGCAAAAAAGATTAGATTACGGGTGTCCAGCCCTGGCCACTTCAAGACTGCCCCAGGCTGGCTGGGGAATTCTGGGAGTTGAAGTCCAGAGGTTTTCAAGTGGCCAAGATGGGACACCTGGGGTTAGAGGTTGGGGGGGGGGTAGATTGAGGAAGGCATGATGGAGAAAAACAGCTCTTCATTTATCCTCCTCCCTTCCTCCTCCTCCTCCTCTTCTTCTCCTCCTCCTCCTCCTCCTCCTTTCTTCTTCTTCTCTTTCTTCTCCTCCTCCTCCTTCTTTCTTCTTCTTCTTCTCTTTCTTCTTCTCCTCCTCCTCCTCCTTCTTTTCTTCTCCTCCTCCTCCTTTTTCTTTCTTCTTCTTCTTCTCTTTCTTCTTCTTCTCCTCCTTCTTCTTCTTTCTTCTTCTTCTCCTCCTCCTTCTTCTTTCTTCTTCTTCTCTTTCTTCTTCTCTTTCTTCTTCTTCTCCTCCTCCTCCTCCTCCTTTTCCTTCTCCTTCTTCTTCTTCACAGTATTCCAGTATTTGAGGGGCTGCCCCAAAGTGGAGGGGGTCACATTGTTCACCAGAGCACCAGAGGGCAGGACAAAAAACGATGGTTGGAAACTGACCAAAGAGAGAAGCAACCTGGAGTTAAGGGGGAACTTCCTGACAGGGAGGACAATTAACCAGTGGAACAGCTTGCCACCAGAAATCATGGGCGCTCCATCATTGGAGGTTTTTAAGAAAAGACTAGACAATCAGCTGTCTGATGTTCTCCTGCTTGAGCAGGGGGATGGACTAGAAGACCTCCAAGGTCCCTTCCAGATTCTATTCTATTCTATTCTATTCCATTCCATTCCATTCCATTCCATTCCATTCTCTATTCTATTCTATTCTATTCTATTCTATTCTATTCTATTCTATTCTGAATTCTATTTTCTATTCTATTCTATTCTATTCTATTCTAGTGTGAATTCTATTTTTTATTCTATTTTCTATTTAATTCTATTCTAAATTTTCTATTATATTCTATTTTATATTCTATTCATATTATTAATACAAGCAGTCCTCAACTTACAAGTTCACTTAGTGACTGTTCCAAACTACAAAGTGACTGAGGACCGTTTTTCACATTTAACGACCGTTGCAGCGGTGATATGATCAAAATTCGGACACTTGGCAACAGATTCCTGTTTATGACGGTTGCAGAGTCCCCGGGTCACTACCTTATCACTGCAGATTCATTAAGTGAATCTGGCTTCCCCAAGTTAATGGGGAAGCCAGATTCACTTAATGACCGGGTCACTGCCTTATCAGCTGCAGTGATTCACTTAACAACCGTGGCAAGAAAGGTCGTAAAAGGGGGCAAAACTCACTTAACAAATGTTCTTCTTAGGCACGGAGGTTTTGGTCGTAAGTCGAGGATTCCCTACACCCATTTGTATTCATGTTATTTATTAAACAAATTATATCTAGCTGCCCAAGTCACAGAGGGGCTAGCAACGCAAATCCAATTTATTGAAAAGCCCTTTTCACTGGCCCTACATAGCTCGGAGTCCAGGCTCCCGTCTGAGCTTGGGGAGCTGTGTCCAAGAGTTTCCACTTTTAACTGAAAACCTGGCCCTCGAGTTCCCACAACATTCTTGGCCTTTTGGCTTCAAAGGCTTCAAGGCTTCAGTCCGGAGCAAGAACTTGGGGGGGGGGAGGAAAAGCCCGCAGACCCCCTTTTCCGACGGGGCTGATGGGCGTTGTAGTGCAAGCCCTCTGCAAGGGCGCCTCGGGGAAGAGGCGCCGCAGCGGAGGCTGGCACAAAGGCCTGGCCGGGCGGGGTCGGTCGCCTGCGGAAAAGACCGAGGGAAACGGGGGGAAACACGGAACCCCGTCCTCATCCCAACGTGCAGCAGACACGGGTCTGGCCTCTTCTGCCTGCAGGCGGTGTTTCGACCGGGCGGGCTTGCAAAGGAGAGGCCGGGCGAACGCGGGAGCCCGCAGCCCCCGCAAGGGGGTTTCACCCGCCCCCGAGGCCCCTCCCCGCATCTCTCTGGCTCCGCCCCCCCAAAGCAGAACAAAAACCGGCGGGGCCGCGCACACCGCGCCCCCGGGAGTGTGCCTGCCTCGCACCGGCGGAGGGGGGGGGGTGCGCCTTCCTCCGGCTTGCAGGTAACGGGAGGGGCGGGGAGCGATAAAAGAGGGGGGGGTCCGGGAGGGGGGGACCCAAGGCCGAGGGTCGCGAGCCCTCTCCCCTCCTTTCCCCGCTAGGAGGGGGGATCGCTGGGGCCCCCGTCGGCAAGCGCCCGTCCGTGGGTTCGTTTCTCCGGAGGTAGCGCAGTTCCCTCCCATCATCCCCGGCCATGATGGGCGGGGTGGTCCCGGGGGGGGGAGGAGGCTGGGAAAGCCGTTGCCTCCGGCTTTGCGGCTCCGATCTCCCCTCTTCCAGGCCGGCGGCTCCCTTTCGGCCCCCGAGTGGCCTACCTCGCCGGGGTGGAGCAGGGCAAGGATCGCGGGACCCAAAAGGCTGAGTTCGCGGGGCCACGAGCCACGCGGGCTAAGTCAAGCCCCCCCCCGGCTCTGGTTTTATTTCGTTTTCCTGTTGAGAAGCGGGCTGCCTCCCTCCCTCCCTCCCTCCCTCTCCCCCTCCCTCCCTTTCCCTCCTTCTCTATTTTTCCCTTCCTTCTCTTCCCCTCCCTCCTTTTTTCCCCTTCCCTCTCTCCTTCCTCTTTTCTACCTTTCTCTCTTTCCTTTCGTTCCTTTCCCCTTTTCTATTTCTCCTCCCTTTTTTCCTCCCTTCCCCTCTTTCTTTCCCTCCTTCCCGCTTTCTGTCTTTCTTTCTTTCCTTCCATTCCTTTCCTCTTTTCTATTTCTCCCTCCCTTCTTTCCTCCCTTCCCTCTTTCTTTCCCTCCTTCCCGTTTTCTGTCTTTTTCTTTCTTTCTTTCCTTCCATTCCTTTCCTTTCTATTTCTCCCTCCCTTTTTTCCTCCCTTCCCTCTTTCTTTCCCTCCTTCCCGTTTTCTGTCTTTTTCTTTCTTTCTTTCCTTCCATTCCTTTCCTTTCTATTTCTCCCTCCCTTTTTTCCTCCCCCTTCCCTTTCTTTCCTCCCGGTTTTCTGTCTTTTTCTTTCTTTCTTTCCTTCCATTCCTTTCCTTTCTATTTCTCCCTCCCTTTTTTCCTCCCTTCCCTCTTTCTTTCCCTCCTTCCGGTTTTCTGTCTTTTTCTTTCTTTCTTTCCTTCCATTCCTTTCCTTTCTATTTCTCCCTCCCTTTTTTCCTCCCTTCCCTCTTTCTTTCCCTCCTTCCGGTTTTCTGTCTTTTTCTTTCTTTCTTTCCTTCCATTCCTTTCCTTTCTATTTCTCCCTCCCTTTTTTCCTCCCTTCCCTCTTTCTTTCCTTCCTTCCCGCTTTCTATTTTTTCTTTCTCTTTCCTTCCTTTTCCTCTTTTCTATTTCTCCCTCCCTTTTTCCCTCCTTCCCGTTTTCTGTCTTTTTCTTTCTCTTTCCTTCCATTCCTTTCCCCTTTTCTATTTTCCCTCCCTCCCTCCCTTTTTCCTTCCCTCTCTCTCTCTCTCTCCCTCCTACCTCTTTTGTGTCTGTCTTCCTTCCTTCCTTCCCTCCCTCCCTCCCTCCCCCCCCCCCCCGTTTTGCGCCCTCCTTGCCGAAGGCTCCAGGGCAAAGGCAGAACCAGCCCCGCCGAACTCCGGATGCCTTTCCAGGATGCCGACTAAAAGTTTTCAGCTGACAAAAGTCCGCAACATTCTTGCCTTCGGTCCGTCTTTTTGCTTGGGAAACAAACCCTTCCCTTTTGGTGGGGGCTGCTGGCATGGGGGGGGGGGAGAGAGACACCATTCCTCGCCAGGCCCTTTTCTGCCAGGAATCGACCCCCACCCCCGTCCCCCGCCCCCCAGTTCCGGAGGGGAGGGCATCCATTGTGTGTTTGTGTATGTGTGTGTGTGTGTGTTTTCAGCAAAAGCAACCTTGTGTGTGTGTTTATTTTTTTTTTTTTTCCCAAAGCCCCGCGGGCGAACAGGGCGAGGTTTGGGCAAGGCTGCTGGAAAGCTGGGAGCCTCAGAGCGAGAGGCAGCGTGGCTCAGCGGTTAGATCATCGGCCCTCCCATCCTTCGCGTACTGGGGCGGGGGGGGGGGGATTGCCTTACAGCCTACAGGGGGGGCGCCCGGTTGGGGAAGAAGGCCCAGGATCGGCTGGCGGACGCTGCAGAGGACTGCTCTCCTCCCCCTCCCCCCCCTTCCCTCTCCGCCCCCTGCAGCCACTTGGAGCCGGGAGCCGCGCTGCGCCTGGGAAGGGGGGGGGGATCCAGTTTCACGGCCGTCACGTGTGCCTCGTCCTTGCTGTGACCAGGGCTCTCCCCTTCCCTGGACCAACGCCTTCGGCCGGGCTGGAGAGCAGGATTGGAGCGAAAGGGACGCGGCCCGCGGTTGGGTTTTGCACTTTTTCCCCCACGCGGCGGGATTCGAACCGGCGCCCTGGCTGGCTGCGCTTCCCTGAAAGGGAATCTGGGTGCGGACCTTTGCTTTTTTTGGGGGAGGGGGCGCCCCTGTTTTTCAGGACGGCGCGGAGGGGAACCCCCTTCCCTTCGGGCCTCCAGCCTGGGGAGGCCTTAACCGGTGGGATTTCGGCCTGAGCCATCCCCACCCAGCAACCTTGGGCAGTCCCGTTGGTTTTTATTCTCGGTGTGGTTGGCTCCCCCCCCCCCGCCTTCCTCCCTCCTTCCGCCCCCTCCCCTGGCTGTGCTGCAGATTCAGAGCAAGGCCAGCTTTGGAGGGTGTGTGTGTGGGTGTTTGTGGGGGGGGGGAGATGTTGGCGTGGAGGAGGCCTATCAGCTGACTTGGTCCAGGGAAAGTGTGTGTGTGTGTGGGGGGGGAGTATGAGTGTGTGTTTGCATCCAGCAGAGGCTTGCTGCAATGCATGTGGCCCTGCCTGCTTAGCCCAGCACTTTCCCAAGGGGCAGGACTCCGGTTCCCATGCTGCTCAGCCAAAGGCTGCGGCAGAGCCTCATGGAGGCTGTAGTCCTTCTGCAGGGCTCCGAGGAGGAGGAGGCGGAGGAGGAGACGTGGATAAATCGATACAGCCAGTCCTTTTGAGCTATGTGGCTAAACGAGACATTTGTTGAATGGGCTTTGCCCCGTTTTAAAGATCGCAAAAGGGGATCTAGGGGATCCCGGGGATGCTGCGGCCCGTCATAAATAGGAACCGCTTGCCCAAGTGTCTGAATTTTGATCGTGGGGACGCTGCGGGAGACGTAAGGGCGAAAAAGGGTCCTAAGTTACTTTTTTTTCCCAGGGCCGTCGTAACTTCGCACCGTCGTTAAACGAATGTAAGTCGAGGACTGCCTGTAATTTACTGGCCGCACCTGGCTTTGCCTTCAGGATGTGTGGACTTCAGGTCCCAGAATCCCTAGCGTTGGTAGAAAGAAGCATGGCTGCTGGCTGGAGGATTCTGGGAGTTGAAGTCCACATATCTTCAGAGCCTAAACCAGGGGTCTTCAAACTTGGCCCTTTGGTGACCAACTCCCAGAATTCCTCAGCCAGCGTGAGGGAACTAGGACCCTTTCATGACTTGTGGACTTCAACTCCCAGAATTCCTCAGCCAGCGTGAGGGAACTGTGTGACCTTTTGATGACTTGTGGACTTCAACTCCCAGAATTCCTCAGCCAGGCACGCTGGCTGAGGAATTCTGGGAGTTGAAGTCCACAAGTCATCAAAGGGCCAGGTTTGAAGACCCCCCTGCCCTAAACCAAGGGTCTTTAAACTTCCTACCTTCCAGAGGTGTGGACTTCACTTCCCAGAATCCCTAGCAGTGGTAGCAACAAGCACTGGCCACTGGCTGGGGGAATTCTGGGAGCTGAAGTCCACCAGTCTTAAAGGGAGCCGAGCTTGGACACCCTGTCCCAGATGGTGCAGGGAATATGCTGCCCCCCCTTAACCTCCTCAGACTCTTTGGGGGCAGGTGCTAAGCCCCCCTCCCCATTTTATTTTTTCTTAAAGGAAGTTGCTGTTTCACATCAGATCTCCAGTGAAAGCACAGACAGTTTCTCTTCACCCCCTCTCCGGGATCCTGCAGATGGGAAACGGAGGCCCGTGCTGATCGGAAGTCGCCCGGAGTGGGGGATCCCTCTCTGAAGTTGGGGATCATGGCAGCTCCAGGTTTGCGTTTTTTTTTTTTTTCTCTTACTTCGGCTCCGTGTGATGGCCGGTTAAGGGGACGAGACAGACGGGAACTTCAATTTCCTGACAGTGAGAACAATTAACCCGTGGAACTCCTTGCCTCCAGAAGTTGTGAATGCTCCAACACTGGAAGCTTTTAAGAAGAGACTGGACGGCCATTTGTCTGAAATGGTAGAGGGTTTTCCTGCCTGAGCAGGGGGTTGGACTAGATGACCTCCAAGGTCCCTTCCAGCTCTGTTATTCTGTTCTGTTCTAATTTCCCGACATTTCAACTAAGCGCGTTTCTTTCGAGCATTGTCCGCTTAGTGATTTTTATAGATAGTCCTTGAATTGCAACCACAGTTGGAACTTTCATTGATTAAGTAACAATTGTTCCCGGGATCGTTAAGCAAATCTCTTCCGTTGTTAAGTGGATCGGGTGGTTCTTAAGCGAACTGCAGCTGGTTTTACAATTGGTGCCCGGGTTGTTAAGCGAATCTCCCGTTGTTAAGTGAATCCATTGACTTTGCTTGTCAGGTCGCAAGAGGGCAACCGTCATAAATACGAGTCCGTTGCCGAGCGTCTGAATTTTGATCACGTGACCAGGCCGATGCCGCAACGGTCGTAAAGTGTGGGAAACCGGTCCCGAGTGACTTTTTTTTTTTCAGGTTGAACGGTCGCTAAATGAGCTGTTGTTCTGATTTCCATTGGGCAATGGGTCCGGGATGCGAACGTCCAAACGGTGATTTGGAAAAGAAAAAAAAAAAATAGAAATCTCTGTCTAAGCCACAGTGGCCTCAGCTGATTTTCAGCCAACTGGTTTTTTTTTTGTTTGGAAAAAAGTTTATTCTCTTTGGAAATGTCAGTTCAGGCTGGATCCTCTGGAACCACAGATGGGATTAGTAAATTGGTTGTTTTTTCTCCTCTCCTTTGGCTGTGATTTTTTCTTCGCTCCAACTGGTACATTCCTCAAAGCTGCACGTTTTCCATGTCGGAATCCATGAGGGAATCAGGCACTTGCTAATTTGACTTCTTTTTCAATCTCGGCAACTTTTGAAGAGCTGTGGACTTCAACTCCCAGAATTCCCCAGCCGTCTAAGCTGGCTGGGGAATTCTGGGAGTTGCAAGTCCATACGTCTTAAAGTCGGCAAGGTTTTGAGAAAGACTCTTCCTATAAACCTGGCCATCATCCTCAGGATTTAAAACAGGGGTCTTCAGACTTGGCCCTTTGATGACTGGTGGACTTCAACTCCCAGAATTCCTCAGCCAGGCATGCCTGCCTGAGGAATTCTGGGAGTTGAAGTCCACAAGTCATCAAAGGGCCCAGTTTGAAGACCCCTGATTTAAAATGAGGGAGGAATCTGGGTAAAACTTGAGCGGCGAAAGAACTGGGGCAGGGAAGAAAAAAAAAAGGAAAAATAAATATAAAATCTCAATAAGCGTCCAGAGACAGACTTTGGAACTCCTTGCCCCAAGACAAAAGTCCTCCTTTAGAACGAAAAGAGTCCAAGCAGGTGAATTTCTAGATCACTTGCTGTATCCATTGTCTTTGGCCCAGTTGCCCGCACCTTCTCTTTTTTGTATTCTTTGCAAATAGCGCAAATTTATTTTTATTTTACTGCCTGTTTTGCGCAACAGGTGGCCGGGCAGAAAAGAAACGAAACCCCACTATAACAACAGTTTGTCTTTCTGATAAAGTACATTTACACTTCCTGGACGAGGCCGGTGAAAATGGATGGAGCCGGAAGGTGGTCAAAACAGGAAAAACGTGGGGAGCTTGAACGGAGATGAATTTCTCTAGGTCTTCAGCCATTCACTTCTGAGAAATAAAATTTTAATTTTGCATCGTCGAGTGAGTCAGCCCACTTGAAAAGGCCTGTGACGTCACTGGAGCCACCATCTTTGTGAATCAGCCAGAAAGGCTAGCCAACTTTTTCATTTTTCGTTTTCTTTCTTTTTATTATTATTATTATTTTAATTGCTTTTGAGTCTTCACTTTCCGACAGGTGTAGCTTTTAAATCGCTGCAGCCGGTGGCAGCCGAAAGATGGGAATCGACATCAACATCCTAATCAATTGCCCCTTTGATGCCAACTTCCTAGAAATTGTTGCCTGCTGGTTGTCTTTTCCGGACGGCAAGACGGGGATGATGGGAGTTGGGATAGCCAGACGTTTCTAGGAAGCCCAGAGTGGGATGCAAATATTCAGCTGAACCTGTTTTTTGAGCCAGGCTCAAAAACAGCCACGGTGAGATGGACCTTGGAGTCCTAGTGGACGATCCCTTGACCCTGAGCCAGCCGTGTGCATCAGCAGCCAAAACAGCCAACACAATCCTGGGTTGTATAAACAGAGGCAGAGAATCAAGATTACGCGAAGTATTAATACCGCTTTATAAAGCCCTAGTAAGGCCACACCTGGAATACTGCAGCCAATTTTGGTCACCATATCACAAAAAAGATGTTGAGAGTTTGGGAAAAGTGCAGAGAAGAGCAACTAAGATGATCCAAAGCCTGGAGACCAAAACACACGAAGAACGGCTGCGGGACTTGGGTTTGGCTGGTCTAAAGAAAAGAAGAAATAGGGGAGACAGGATAGCAGTGTTCCAATATTTGAGGGGCTGCCCCAAAGAAGAGAAGGGGGTCAACCTATTTTCCAAAGCACCTCAAGGCAGGACAGGAAGCAACGGATGGAAATCAATCAAGGAGAGAAACAACCTGGAATTAAGGAAGAGACTTCCTAACAGTGAGGACGATTAACCAGTGGAACAGCTTGCCACCAAAGATCATGGGCGCTCCATCACTGAAGGTTTTCAAGAAGAGACTGGACAGCCACCTGTCTGAAATGGTAGAGGATCTCCTGCTTGAGCAGGGGGCTGGACTAGAAGACCTCCAAAGTCCCTTCCAATTTTGTTGTTGTGCTATTTTGTTTTCCTTCCTTCCTTCCTTCCTTCCTTCCTTCCTTCCTTCCTTCCTTCCTTCCTTCCTTCCTTCCTTCCTTCCTTCCTTCCTTCCTTCCTGATTGGACAGCCCATTGCCTAAAAGGGTATAGGGTCTCCTTAAGCTTAAGCAGGGGGTTGGACTAGATGACCTCCCAGGTCCCTCCCAGCTCTTTTCTGATTAAATCTGTGTGTGTGTGTGTGTGTGTGCAGAACAGGTGGATTCCGAGAGAAGCTGAAGGCTACCATGACAACGATGTGGGCGCTCCCGTTGCTTGTCTTTGTAGTTGTTTCAGGCAAAGCTGGCGGGATCGAGCCCGGAGGGTAGATGGAGGCGTGGCTGGAATGCACCTGAGCAGGTTAGGGTGGGGAGGGGGGGAGAGGCTGAGCCAGCCCCTCCCCTTCTCTGATGTAACCTGCTGTCACTCTATGGGGCATCATTCCCACTCACCCCAGCTGAAGGAGGCCCCCACCTTTTTTTTTTGCAATGAGTTTTTAATCCTATGATGGATTTTTAATTTTTGTTTAATATATATATATATATATATATATATTATTTTGCAAGCTGCCCGGAGTCGCCTAGCTGTGAATTTGGTGGCTTTATAAAACTGGCTGAATAAATAGCGCGAAATCAACTTTGATGGCCTCCCTGGAGTTCCGAATGCGAGATGCGCAGCTGCAGAGGGGATCCTTGACTTCAGAATGGTCCGTTTAAGTGACCCGACGTTCCGAGGGCGCTGAAAAATGGGACCGGTGACCCTTTTTTCACACTCGACCCATCGTCGCGGCCTCCGTGTGGTCACAATGAAATAAAAATTCGGAAACTTGGCAGCCGATTCGCTTTTACGACGGTCGCGGTGTCCCGGGCTCACGTGATCCCGCCAATTGGCGACCTTTGGACAAGGAAAATCAGTGGGGGGAAGCTGGGTTTACTTCAAAACTGTGTTGCTAACTGCACAGTTGCGTTGATTCACTTAACAACGTAAAACGGGGCAAAACTCACTTTATGTCCGTCTCGCTTAGCAACAATTTGGGCTCAACTGTGGTCATAAGTTGGAGATTATCTGTAAACAGAATCTCACCTGGGCTCGTTTTAAACAATGGGGGTGGAAAAAACTGCTTTGGGAGCAGAAATCTGTCCTCCCGCCCCCCCATTTTCTTCTTGGATTGTTCAGGGTAGAAGGGACCCCCCCCTTCCCTCCAGGACTACATTTCCCATCCTGCACCTGTGCGCTTTGGAAACGGTCTCGGGAAGTTGTGGGTGCTCCCATCGTTGGAGGTTTTTCAGAAGAAATTGGATAGCTATTTGTCCTGAACGGTATATAGGGTTTCCTGCTTGAGCAGGGGGTTGGGCTAGATGACCTCGGAGGTTCCCTTCCCAGTCTGCTAAATCTGTTAACTAACTGCCACTCTTTGCAGGTAGGACAGGCCCACCTGCTTTGCTTAAAGGTGCAGTGTCAAGTTTCAGGACCTGAGCTTTATTTCTTTTCGTCCTTTTTTTATTTTTTATTTTTTTTCTTTTAGACCAACAAAACAAAACAAAACACAACAAACATTACACACATACACACGTAATATATCCTTTTTTGTTAACAGCAGTTTGTAACAGTACTCTTCTATTCTTTACATTTCCCCCCTCTTTCTTCTTTGAAATATTTGTCCTTTTTGCCCCATTGTTTCTTATTTACATTTTCCTTCTTTCATATTCTACTACTTACTAGGAATCCAACATTATTCATTGTAGTAACACTCACATTTTTTACAGGACTCGACCGGAATTCCATCTAAGCATGGTGATCATACAAATATTCTCATACTATTTAGTGCAGTGTTTCCCAAACTTGACAATTTTAAGGCATGAGGACTTCAACTCCCAGAATTCCACAGCCAGCAACGCTGGCTGTGGAATTCTGGGAGTTGAAGTCCACATGCCTTAAAATTGTCAAGTTTGGGAAACACTGATTTAGTGCATATCCTGTTTTTACTCTAATACTATTTCCAACATTAAAATTCACCCCTTTTCATCCAAGTATATTTATTTAATTTTATTTTTCTTTGACATATATAATAATTCCTCCTTTCTTGTTTTATGCTAATATTATGTATAATGTTTCTAAACTTTACTTTACCTCCGAGATCCCTTCCCAGTCTGCTAAATCTGTTAAGTAACTGCCACTCTTTGCAGGTAGGACAGGCCCACCTGCTTTACTTAAAGGTGCAGTGTCAAGTTTCAGGAATTGAGCTTTATTTTCGTCCTTTTTTTACAGGGTACCATGTTCCACAGCCAGGCTACCCAGGGGCGTCTCCCCCTTACCCCGTTGTGCCGCAACCGCACGCTGGGCCTTCTGCCCCCAGCTCCGGGTTCAACGTCTATCCTGCCGCCAGCCCGGGGCCCGGCTATGTGCCTGCGCCCCAGCCACCCCCCCGGGGATACCGTGACCACTCTGCTTCCCCCCAGCACCCCCAGGCCAGCGACCCCCACGCCGCCATCACTCCTTACCTGCCTGTGTCGGCTGGTATCCCACCTGGCTTGGAGTACCTGACCCAGGTAAGACCTGGGCCTGGGTGCTTGGGGAAGGCGTGGGCCTTGCTCCCTGCTTTGTGTCTTCCAGGTGGGAGACAGGATGTAAGGTCAAGAATACGATTCCGTTGTTTATTAAGTGCAAACGCGCAGAAGGGAATGCAGACCTCGGTTTGAGACGGCAGACCCCAAGAGATGGACTGTTGAGACGGCTTTGCTTGCAAAGCTCTGGGTTCAGGTTCTACGATTGAGAAGAGAAGAGAATAAAAATTAGAATAGAATAATAATTAGAATAGAATAGAATAGAATAATTGAATACTAGAATACAATAATAATAGAATAGAATAATAGAATAAGAATAGAATAAAAATTAGAATAGAATAGAAAATAGTAGAATAAAATAGAATAAGAATATTAAGAAGAATAGAATAGAATAGTAGAATAGAATAGAAGAATAATAGAATAGAATAAATATAAAATAGAATAAATATAGAATAGAATAGAAGAATAATAGAATAGAATAAATATAGAATAGAATTAGAATAAATAGAATAGAATTAGAATAGAATAAACAATAGAATAAATAGAATAGAATAGAAGAATAGAATAGAATAATAATAGAATAAATATAGAATAGAATAAATAATAGAATAAAAATAGAATAGAATAGAATAAAAATAGAATAGAATAGAATAAATATAGAATAGAATAATAATAGAATAGAATAAATAATAGAATAAATATAGAATAGAATAGAATAAATATAGAATAGAATAAATAATAGAATAAAAATTAGAATAGAATAGAATAAAAATAGAATAGAATAGAATAGAATAAATATAGAATAGAATAGAATAATAATAGAATAGAATAATAATAGAATAGAATAAATAATAGAATAAATATAGAATGGAATAGAATAAATAATAAAATAAATATAGAATAGAATAAATATAGAATAGAATAGAATAATAATAGAATAGAATAAATAATAAAATAAATATAGAATAGAATAAATATAAAATAGAATAGAATAAATAATAGAATAAATATAGAATAGAATAGAATAGAATAGAATAGAATAGAATAGAAGCTGGAAGGGACCTTGGAGGTCCACCGGTCTTAAAGTTGCATGGCTGGCTGGGGAATTCTGGGAGTTGAAGTCCACCTGTCGTAAAGGAGCAAGGTTCGAGGACCCCTGTCCTCAGCCCATTTTCTGTTTTTTTTTTTTTAATTTTATTTCTGCACAGACTCTCTGCTGGTTTGCATTGGTGATGTAACTGCTTATCACTCTCTCTGATTCTGCTCTATTTGCTTCTCTTCAGGTAGACCAAGTTTTGATCCATCAGAAGGTGGAACTTGTAGAAGGTATGGTGTCAAAGCAATTATTATTATTATTATTATTATTATTTCGAGACCTTGTGCATGGACAGAGTTCCGAGGGCCTGCCCAGGTCTCCGCTTCTCTTAAGGCCTTGAACTGCGGGAGTTGTGAAGTCAGAAAGTGGAAGTGGAACAGCTGGCCACCAGAAATCGTGGGCGCTCCATCCCTGGAGATTTTTAAGAAGAGACCACTGGACAACCACCTGTCTGAGATGGTGTAGGTTCTCCTGCTTGAGCAGGGGGCTGGACTAGAAGACCTCCAAGGTCCCTTCCAGCTCTAATCTATTCAATCTTTAAGACTTGTGGACTTTTTTTCCAGAATTCCCCTGCCAGCCCTTTTTTCATTTTGTGAAGTCAAGATGGATTAACTCCACTGCATTCCCGCTATCTATTAAGAAAGTTACCCAGTCGAACAATGGGATAAAGTAGTGTAGCCATATTTCTTCTTGTCCTACCCAGGCTGAATTCTGGTGAACCCTTGCTGGCTGGGGAATTCTGGGAATTGAAGTCCACGCGTTTTATTAAAAGTGGCCAGGGCTGGACACCCTTGCTATAAAGTTAGTTAAAAAAGAAAACTAGGGAAAACAGTGCCAAAGCATTGTCCATTCCCAAGGGTCTCCCAGATTCTATATATTAAGGGTCCCCAAATACGGCCCCTTTAAGACTTGTGGACTTCAACTCCCAGAATTCCTTAGCCGTCAAGGGTTTCCTAGAATTCAGTATGGATAGGACAGGAATAAAGCTGGCTGGACTATCCGAATTTTGGATACTGTAACTTTCTTAATAGACGGTAGGTATGCGGTAAACGTAATATATCTTGCCTTCAGCAAAGTGGGGGGGAAAAAAAGCTGGCTGGGGGATTCTGGGAGTTGAAGTCCCCAGGTCTTAAAGTTGCTAAGATTAGATATCCCTGATAATGGGCAGGACCCTCTGTCACGCCTGGGGTGGGGGGGGGGGCTGTTGCAAACTGCAACGTCCCATGGATGACTCCACAGGCAACATGAGGTCAGCACATTAGGCACGTGTCACGACATCTTCGTGCAAGGACGAAAAGATTGATTGATTGATTGATTTACTGGGGTTCATATGTTCTCCACGCCAAAGGGATGCTGAACAGCTGATATGCTTTCTCTGGATAGGAAGGTGTATAAATAGTCCTCAACTTAAAGAACTGATCACTTGATGATGACCCGAAGTTACAACGGTCCCGTCCCAAAGCCTTCCCCCTGTTCCTGGTCACATGACTGCATTTGCAGGTGCTTGGCAACTAGCCCGTATTTACGACCGTTTGTGGTCACATGACCGCAACTTATAATGTTTTTGTCAAAAACCGGTGTTTGCTTTATACGACCGCCGCAGAAAAGATCAGAAGATCAGGTCTGGTCACCAGATGACCTGCTTTACAACCATCACAACTTGACAACCATAATGGGCAGGCTCCATTACGGTCCTAAGTCAAGGACTACCTGTGAAAGAAAATTAAGAGAAGCAGTGTAGCCAGAGAACCGTTTAGCACAGTGGTACTCAACCTTTTTAATGCCGCGACCCCCCAACCGGTCATAAGTCGAGGACTACTCAACTGGTGCAGCACCGTTTGCAGAATGGGACTTTTGGCGGGCTCAGCAGGGCAGAGACAGGACAATTGGCTTTGAAAGCCAATCGAATTAGACTCTATTCAAGAGAGTCTATTCTATTGGCTTTCAAAAGCCAATAGAATAAAAGAGTAGCACAGCTAAGGAAAAGGGGGGGGGGAAATGGCGGACTGCGTTGTTTGGCGACCGCCGTGAAAGGGTCGTTCGACCCCAAATGGGGTCCCGACCCACAGGTTGAGAACCACTGGTTTAGCGCTACAGTTAGAATTGCAAGAACAACGTTGAAATACAAGGGATGTTTTCTCCATCTTTTCTAGAGTTTGGGCACAATCCCAGAAGTTGTAGGGTTAGGGTTAGGCTCCCTCAGAGCCCCTCCTCGGGGGGAGGGTCCCTACTCCCCCGTGCAATTCCCTTTCAGGCTGGTTGACCGTCCCCACTGCAGTCTGTTGCAGCGCCCATAACCCCTTTTGCATTGAGCATCTCCTTGCTCTCCTTGATCCCTTTCTCTCCGGCCTCTTTGCAGCTTTCATCGGCTTCGAAGGCAACAACAAGTACGAGGTGCGAAACAGCCTCGGCCAGCACATCTTCCACGCGGAAGAGCAGAATGACTGCTGTACCAGGAACTGCTGCGGCTCGCTACGCCGCTTCTCCATGCGACTGGACGACCCCAGCGGCCGTGAAGTCATCCGGCTTGTCCGTCCATTAAAATGTGTCAGCTGCTTTTTCCCCTGCTGTCTTCAGGAGGTAACACAGCGAGTTCGGTCTAGTGCAGTGGTTCTCAACCTGTGGGTCGGGACCCCATTTGGGGTCGAACGACCATTTCACGGGGGTCGCCAAACAAGGCTGTCCGCCATTTTTTCCCCTTTTCTTTGGCCACGCCCCTGGCACCCGGTGATGTATAAGTGGTTGGGGGTCACCACAACATGGGGAACTGTATTATGGGGTCACGGCATTAGAAAGGTTGAGAACCACTGGTCTAGTGGGTGATGTGCCCAGGCTTCACTGGGAGACAGTGAGTTGTAGTCCTGCTTTAGGCATGAAAGCCAGCTGGGTAACTTTGGGCCAATCACTAGGAGATGGTGAGTTCTAGTTTTACCTTAGGTATGAAAGCCAGCTGGGTGACTTTGGGCCAATCACCAGGGGACAGTGAGTTCTAGTCCCACCTTAGGCATGAAAGCTGGCTGGGTGATTTTGGGGCAATCACCAGGAGGTAGCGTGTTCCAGTCCTGCTTTTGGCATGAAAGCCAGCTGGGCGACATTGGGCCAATCACTAGGATATGGTGAGTTCTAGTTTTACCTTAGACATGAAAGCCGGTTGGGTGACTTTGGGCCAATCCCCAGGAGACAGTGAGCTCTGGCATTTTGGTCACCACGATGCAAAAAAGATGTTGAGACTCTAGAAAGAGTGCAGAGAAGAGCAACAAAGATGATGAGGGGACTGGAGGCTAAAACATATAAGGAACGGTTGCTAGAATTGGGTATGTCTAGTTTAACGAAGAGAAGGACAAGGGGGGACATGATAGCAGTATTCCAGTATCTCAGGGGCTGCCATAAAGAAGAGGGAATTAAGCTATTTTCCAAAGCACCTGAAGGCAGGACAAGAAGCAAGGGATGGAAACCAATCAAGGAGAGAAGCAACCTCGAACTAAGGAGAAACTTCCTGACAGTGAGAACAATTAACCAGTGGAACTACCTGCCTCCAGAAGCAGTAAATGCTCCAACACTGGAAGTTTTTAAGAAGAGACTGGACAGCCACTTGTCCGAAATGGTGTAGGGTTTCCTGCCCGAGCAGGGGGTTGGACTAGATGACCTCCAAGGTCCCTTCCAACTTTACTAATATGAACATATGGTATTCCCGATGGGTGGATGTCCTGTCAATCTCTTGACAGCCAACTTTAACCAAGAGTGAAATATTCCCCTTCTTTAACAAGATTTATGAAAAAAGGAATGCAATCCGGTTGCAGAGATCTCAGTACGGTTTCTCCCTGGGAGCCCAATTTTACCTCTCACCTGGCGGACTAAGCTAAAGCGAAACTCTGGATTTAACCAGTGAGAATGCGGCTGTTGTGTTGTTGTGTGAATTCTCCTCTCCGTTAGGTCGCAGTAGAACATATTTGCCCAAGCATTGTGACTTAACTCGGGCAACCTCTTAACCTCATTTTTCTGACACCCGTTTTTCTTTGCCTTCCCGCAGATGGAAGTCCAGTGCCCGCCGGGTGCCACCCTTGGCTACGTGGTGCAGACCTGGCATCCCTTCATGCCCAGGTTCTCCATCCAGAACGTCGAGAAGGAGACGGTGCTCCGCGTTTTGGGTCCTTGCTTTGCCTGCAGTTGCGGCGGGGATGTCAGCTTCGAGGTGTGACCAGAATAGAGACAATCCTCAACTTAACAATAGGTTGTTTAGGGACAATTCAAAGTTGCGACGGCACTGAAACAAGTGACTGATGACCAGTTTTCACGCCTCACAGTCACGTGATCAAAATTCGGATGCTTGGCAACTCGCTCGTATTTATGACAGTTGCAGCGTCCTGGCATCACGTGATCTCCTTTGGCGACCTTCTGCCAAGCAAAGTCAGTCGGGAAGCCCATGTCACTGACCTAACAATCACAGGGATTCACTTTTAATGGCTGTGACAAAACAGGTCGTACAATGGAGCAAAATTCACAAGTGTCTCACTTAGCAACAGAAATGTTAGGCTCGTAAGTCAAGGACTATCTGTAGTGTTGGTCAAGATGTGTGGACTTCAACTTCCAGAATTCCCCTGCCGGCTTTGAAGTCCACACATCTTAAAACGCCCCAGGGTCAAGAAATCCAGGCCCAGAGAGACAACATCTGTAGACCCTGGGCTCAAATTTTGGGGGAGGAGACCTTTTGCACATGCTCAAGAACCCCATGTCCTTTAGAATATTCTCACGAGATCTTAAAAACAAACTTGGAAATCTAATTCCTGCACCAGGTGGAGATGGAAGTACGGTGTACATTTGATGTGAGGTTACAGGCAGACGTCCTTTCGCAGTCGCCAATTGTTGCGAGCGGTATGTAAATGCAGCTCTCGTGTCTTCCTGCAGGTGAAGACCCGGGATGAATCCCGCGGGGTAGGCCGGATCAGTAAGCAGTGGAGCGGTCTTCTTAAGGAAGTCTTTACCGACACGGACAACTTTGGGATCCAGTTCCCCATCGATCTGGACGTGAAGGTCAAGGCGATTCTCCTCGGAGCCTGCTTCCTCATTGTGAGTCTGGCTCCAGAGTTGAGGAAAGATGATGAGAACTGGGGTGGGTGGTCCACTTTCCCTACACCTCCCCAAAAAAGGAGACCACCAGGCACTTCAGCAATTTCTCTTCTGCTTTTCGCAGGATTTTATGTTTTTCGAGAAGACGGGAGAAGTTGGACAGAGGACCTCCGTAATGAGCAGTTGAAATCATCTCAAATCAGGGACAATTTTCCTGGTTCTGACCTGACAGAGAGAGAGGGAGTGTATGTGGGTTTTTTTGTGCAAAGAGAGTATGCGTATATGTGTGTTTTTGTGGGTATGTTTGGGTCTGACAGCGATGGTTGCGCTTGCAAATCTCTATGTGTCCAAAGACTGGGTCTCTATCCTAGTTGCCTCTGTTCTCGGAAGCTGTCGTGGCCTTGCACTTCTGCACAAAACTTGTTAGAGTCTGTCCGATGCACTCTCTCTGCCATCTCCAGGCTGGGGATTATGGGAGTTGAAGTCCAGCTCTCTGAAGGAGGAGAGGTTGGGGAAAGTTGGGTTCGTTGTTCTGCTGTTAAAGTTGTGATTTTCAGGGAAACTTTTGGCATAGAACAGTGTTTCCCAAACTTGACAATTTTAAGGCATGAGGACTTCAACTCCCAGAATTCCACAGCCAGCAACGCTGGCTGTGGAATTCTGGGAGTTGAAGTCCACATGCCTTAAAATTGTCAAGTTTGGGAAACACTGGCATAGAAGATCGGTGAGGGGTGTTCAGCTGAGTTGGGGTGCCTGCTCAGGTTTTTGGGGTGCAGGGACCAAGGCTGTCTGGTCAAAAAAGTCAGAACGATGGCTTATTGTGTCACCAACACTTTGCCCATAAACCGGGGAAGATTCATCCTCTAATCCGGAAGAATTCTGTTTCTTAATCTCAGCATCTTTAAGATATATGGACTTCAATTCCCAGAATTCTCCAGCCAGTGTAGAATGGTGGACTTAGTAGATCAGGGGTATGCTGCAGACATAGTTTATCTGGACCTGGATTTCTAATGATAGTTTCCTTTATAAATGATAACTGGGGAATCCTGGGAATTGAGGTCGATAAGTCATAAAAGTGCAAGTTTGGAGACCCCTGATCTAAATGTTTTTCAAACTTGGCCACTGTTAAGTGCTGGCTGGGGAATTCTGGGGGTTGAAGTCCACACATCTTAAAGGTGCCCAGTTTAAAAAGCACTGCCTTAGAGAGAGCTTTTATTCCTTGCGTGTGGAATTAATAATTTGCAAAGATGGGTGTCTGTGCCCCACAGATTCTCCAGACTTCCACGCAGAGAGATTTGGAGGGAAAAACGAAGAAATCGCCCATCGAATAATTAATAAAAGGACGCTTGGCGGAATAAAAATAATTACAGATTAGCAGCCGTGGCACCGCCCTTGCCCCCCCCCCAAAAAACCTTGAAAAATTAAGAGTGGAGGAAAAGAACAATCTGTGCTTGTTAAAAGAAAAACAAAACAAGCCATCTCTGGTTTAACAATGGCTTCCTTGTTGGACCTGTATCAGATGATCCCAAGACGAAAGAGCCGAGCGCCTTGGTGCACAGATGCTTTTGTGAAGTTCGAAAAGCAACACATCTGGAGACATCCGTCTGTCTCAATTGTTGATTCACAGTTCTTGGACGTGGTTTGGACTTGCTTTCCCCAACGTGGACCCCTCCGGGGATAGGCTGGGCTGCCTGGGAGGGGATGGGCGTTGTAGTCTTAAGCCGGTTTGAGCTGGGAGCCACTCGGATGACACCTTTGGGCGTGTGAGTCTGTCTGGATTATGCACGGTGTGTGTTTGTGGGTGTCGGCGTGGCGTGGTCCCATCGGCACCAAGGACGAAACAAATGCTGCGGACGTGTTGGGCAGACTGTTTTACCATTTTTCCTCTCTCCGGCCCCAATATATGGATAGTTGGTATTTTAATTCCTATTTCAATGTCTTGGCCAGGCACGGTTGCCGGTGCTACGTTGCTTAACCACTAAAATAGCAAGATTCCCCCCCATTTTGTGGGCTGTTAGGGACTCCCCACCATCAGCTCAAGAGTTGGGGGTCTCGGAGAAGCAGAAAACCCCTTTCTGAATGTCAGTGTCTTGCATAATATTAATATCCAGTATTTTTTCTCTACTGTATTTAAATACCAAATGTTTTTGGGGGGGGGCTTAGGGTGGCGTGGGGTGGAAGGGATGGGGTACTCATGCCACAACGACGGCAGAGAAAGGATCCGTAGCTGGGAAAAAAAGCAAAGATGGCAGTTGAAGTTGATGCTTGGACAAATTCAGGTCCCCCCCAGTTTGGGGTTCCCTGAGTGCCCTCCGACTCCGGCAGTCTGCTGCGACCCGTGGCAGGGATGATGGGATTTGTTGTTCCAACCCGTGGGGAGGAAAGCTGGGCCTAGAGTGGGAGGTCAAGTGGGCTGTGCAAAAAAAACCCAAACCCCTCCTCCGAAAGTTTGTAATTTGGGGGTCTCGTGGACGATGAAGCTTCTGAGTTTCAAGGCCAAACCAAAGACAGAACGAATAAAATATGTACCGTTTGCTCATTTCCCCCCCCCCTTTGATGGATTGTTGATTTTGTCGAGTCATAACAGCGGCTGTCAAACCTTAAAAAGCAGTCCTCTAAAATAATAATAATAGTTGGAAGGGACCTTGGAGGTCATCTAGTCCAACCCCCTGCTCAGACAGGAAACCCTATACCATTTCAGACAATAAAAAAGTTGGAAGAGACCTTGGAGGTCATCTATTCCAACCCCCTGCTGAGGCAGGAAACCCTGTACTACAGTGGTTCTCAACCTTTCTAATGCTGCGACCCCATAATACAGTTCTCCATGTTGTGGTGACCCCCAATCACTTATACATCATCGGGTGCCAGGGGTGTGGCCAAAGAAAAGGGGGAAAAAATGGCGGACAGCCTTGTTTGGCGACCCCTGTGAAATGGTCGTTCGACCCCAAATGGGATCCCAACCCACAGGTTGAGAACCACTGCTACACTATTTCGGACAAATAATAAAAAAGTTGGAAGGGACCATGGAGGTCATCTAGTCCAACTCCCTGCTGAGGCAGGAAACCCTACACCATTCCAGACAGTTACCACGGTTTGTTTAGTGACCAAGCTTACAATAGCGTTGAAAAAAAGGGACTTATGACCGCTTTTCACATTTAACGACCACTGCAGCGTCCCCGGGGGGGTCACGTGATCAAAATTCAGACGCATGGCCACTGACTCGTGTTTACGACCGTCACGGTGTCTCCCGGGGGGGTGGGTGTCACCTGATCCCCTTTTGCGACCTGCTGATGATGGGGGAAGCCCGGATTCACTTAACGACTGGATGGCTGACTTATCCCCAGCAGTGATTCACTTAACAACCGAGGCAATGAAGGTCGTGACATACGGGGCAACATCGCGGTTAGATGGACTCGCTGTGGGGGTTTGTTGCTCGTTAGTGGCTGCACTTAAGGTTTGGGGGCAGGGGTGGGTGGGGGTTAATATTTGAGGGGGGGTATCGTCTTGTTGCAGCGCTGTGGGGGGGGTGCTGCGATGGTCGTAAGGGCGAGGCACAGCCGTAAGTCATTTTTTTTTTCAGTGCATCATAACTTCAAGTGGTGGTGAATGGTGGTGAGGACTAGCTGTAAAGCCAGGACAGAAAGCACTCTAGGAGTGGCTCTTCCTCCTGCCTCCTCTTCCTCACTCCTTCCCCTCTTTTCCACTCTTCCTCTTCCTCTCCTTCCCTGTGTCTCTTCCTTTTCTTCCCTGTCCCTTCCTCCCCCTCTTCCCTTCTTCCTCCCCCTCCCTGTCTCTTCTCTTCCTCTTTCTTCCTTTTTCCTGTCTCCTCTTTCCTTCCTTGTCCTTTTCCATGCCTCTTCCCTTCCCCTCTTCTTCCTTTCCCCTTCCCCTCCTTCTCTTCCCTGCCTTTCTCTTCTTCCCTTCATTCTCCTTTTCCGTGCCTCTTCCCTTCCCCTCCTCTTCCTCCCCCTCCCTGCCTCCTCTTCCTTTCCCCTTCCTCCCCTTCCCCTCCTTCTCTTCCCTGCCTTTCTCCTCTTCTCTTCTTCCCTTTCTCCCCCCCTGTTCCCTTCCCTCTCCTTTTCCGTGCCTCTTCCCTTCCCCTCCTCTTCCTCCCCCTCCCTGCCTCCTCTTCCTTTCCCCTTCCTCCCCTTCCCCTACTTCTCTTCCCTGCCTTTCTCTTCTTCCCTTCTCTCTCCTTTTCTGGGCCTCTTCCCTTCCCCTCCCCCTCCCCGCCTCTTCCCTTCCTCTCCTCTTCCTCCTTTCCCCCCCTCCTGCTTCCTCCTCCTCCACTCCCCCACGCCTCTCCCCTCTCTCCCATTCTCCTCCAAAGATACCCCAGGAGCACCCTCACAGCTGCTCACCTTTATTGCCCGTATTTGACCCCTATTTACATCAGAAAAAGAGACAGCCAGGAAGGCGCCCCGTTTTTGCCCACCGCCCCCTCCCCCATTTAAGGCACCTGGGCATCTGGCGAGGGGGCAACCTGGACCCTCCCCATTTGCCCCCTCCCCAGACAGCGCGAGAGTCCACGCAAGAGAAAAAAAACCCTCTACATAGTTCAAGCGAGCCGTGCTTCTAAATAAGAAAACCCGCAGATCCTCGGAAGAAGGCGAGAGGTCTCAAACGAGCCAGTGGGCCAGCCCAGTTGAGGTGTACCTCCTCAAAGAGGACTAGGAGCTTGTGTCCCGAGGTTCAGAGGAGGGCTGGGTCAAGTGGACCACTGGCTTCGGTGTCTCTTGGGCCAAAAGGAATAGAAGGGAGCTGGCCGGTTTGCAAGTTTGGGCCGGCCATCGTCCTAAGCGGCTGGACACTCGGCCACGAGTCCGTGGGGAGCCTGGGGAAGGCCCAGGGGGCTCTCCTGCCCGCCAGCACCGGGGAGCTGGGATGCTGGGTCGGGTGGGCCCTTCGGGACAGACCCCTGGCTCTCTCCCCCCCCCGCCCACCCCTGGGTGCCTGCTCAGGTCCGGAGCCCCCGGCTGAGCACGTAGCGGGAGGCCATGGCTAAGTTCCAGCGGTGCTTCTCCAGGATCCGACGGCATTCGTTCCACGAGAGGGAGCTGAGGTTGAAGAGCTGGTGGACCTGTGGGAGGGAGGGAGGGAGGGAAAGAGGAAGGAAGAAGGGAAAGAGAGAGGGAAGGAAGAGAAGGAAAGGGGAAGGCAAGAGGGAAGGAGGGAGGAAAGGAAGACAGGAAGGAAGGGAGACGGAGGGAAGAATAGAAGGTAAAAGGAGAGAAAAGCAAGGAAAAGGGAAGGCAGGAGGGAGGGAGGGAGGAAATGAAGGAAGACAGGAAGGAAGGAAAATGAATAGAAGGTAAAAGGAAGGGAGAAGGAAGGAAAGGGAGGGAGGAAATGAGAAAAGACAGGAAGGAAGGGAGAGGGAGGGAAGAATAGAAGGTAAAAGGAAGGGGGAGGAAAGGAAGGAAAAAGGAAAGGGGAGGAAATGAAGGGAAGGAAGACAGGAAGGGAGAGGAGGCAAGAATAGAAGGTAAAAGGAAGAGGGAGGGAAGGAAGGAAACGAAGGGAAGGAAGACGAAGGAAGAGAGGGAGGGAAGAATAGAAGGTAAAAGGAAGAGGGAGGGAAGGAAGACAGGAAGGAAGGGAAATGGAGGGAAGAATGGAAGGTAAAAGGAAGGGAGAGGGAAGGAAGGAAGGAAATGAAGGTGAGAGGGAGGGAGGAAATGAAGGGAAGGAAGGAAAAAGGAAGGGAAGCAAGACAGGAAGGAAGGAAGGGAGAGGGAAGAATAGAAGGCAAAAGAGAGAGAAAGGGAAATTGAGAGGAAGGAAGGAAAAGAACAAAAAATGAAGGGAGAGGTAAAGGCAAGAAAGGGAGCAAGGAAAAATAAGAAAGGGAGAGGGCAAGGAAGGAAGATGTGGGTCATGCAGCTTCTCTGGGGTGCCAAGTTTCCACTCACACACACACACACACACACCACCACCCGAGGCTCCCGGAAGCCCCTCCCTCTCCCGCTGCCCTCCCCATCCGGGTGGCACAGCTGGAAAACCGCTGGCCGGCCAACAGTGGGGGGGGCTGTCTTCCCACCTTCAGCAGCTGGACCGTCTTGGGCACCTCCCAGCTGTTCATGCGCAGGGCCTCCAGACACTCCTCCGTGGTCACCCCGTGCACCCGCTCTTCCACCTGCGGGGAGGGGGGGCAAACGGGCAGCCTCAGCCAAGAGGCCGCAGGGGGCCGACCCCCAACTCCTTCGCTTTGGGGGGGGCCGAGGGCTCAAGAGGAGAAACGGTTGCCAGCTGCCCTCTCCCCCCTTCAAGGATTGGCTAGCCTTCCCCTGCCCAGCCCCTGCCGGGGTTTGGGACTACAATACCCATCTCCCCCAGGAGGGGCTAAACAGAATTCATGAAGGCAGGGGGTTGGACTAGATGACCTCCAAGGTCCCTTCCAACATCATTATTATTATTACTATTATTACTATGACTATTATTATTATTATTATGTTGGTATTATTAGTAGTAGTAGTATTAGTATTATTTCTGTGCTCGGGTGTTTTGGAAATCCGAGTGAGATGGGCAGCAAATACATTGAATAAAGAATAAATTTAACACAGGTAGTCCTCGACTTGACGGCCGCAATTTGAGCCCCGCGTTTCCGCTGCTCAGTGAGACCGTCGTTAAACATGAGTTTTGCCCCGTTTTACGACCTGTCTGGCCACAGGTGTTAATTGTTGCGGACACTTGAGTCGCACAGTCGTTAAGCGAATCCGGCTTCCCCCATGGACTTTGCTTGCCAGTCGGTCGCAAAAGGGGGATCGCGTGACAAATCCCCCCCCCTTCCGGCACGCTGCGACCGTCGTACATACGAGACAGCTGCCGAGCGTCTGAACGTTGATCACGTGATCAGGGGGATTAACTGCAACGGTCTTGTGAAACATGGTCACAAGTCACCTCTTTTCAGCGCGGTTGTAACTTGGAATGGTCACTAAACGGTTGTAAGTCGAGGACTTTGCCTGTAAAGGATTTTTTCCCAGGGGTTTTCTGCTCGGCTCTGGGAAGATCTCCTGGTGGTCTCCTTTTCCTTTATGCAGCTCCATTTCAAGCTGGAAGGCGATCCCTTCCTTGACCCCCTAACCCGGAGTGGGGTGGAAACGACCTCCCCCTCCCCAGCAGCCCAGCCCAGATCCAGTTCGAGAGCACAGGGCCCGGATGGATGCCCTCAGAGTTCCCCCTCCCTCTTTGAAGCAAGACCCGGTGGTGGGCATGGCAGAAGGTGGTCTCTTACCTCCTTGATCTTCTTCTCGATCTCCCCCACGGTCAGCCTCGGCCCGCCGGGAGGGGGTGGCCCCCCAGCGCCTTTGGGGGCCGGGCGGGCCCCCCGCTGCTCCTTCTCCTTGGCCCCCGCAGCTTCCACCTTGGGCAGCGCCCAGGAAGGCAGGGCCGGGTTCGGGATGCGGGCAGCGGCCTTGGGGTTGCGGTACTCCGGCTGGGGGGCGGGCGCCGGGAGCGGGCTGGGCAGGTCGCTGAACCGCCGCTGGGGGGGCTGGCTGGGACCCTCCGTCTGGAACAGCGGGAATCTCGGCTTGGGACGCAGGATGGACCACTCAGAAATGGATTCCAGGCTTTTGGACAGGCCTGAAGGGGGCAGCAGAGGAGGGGGGGCGGGTTTAAGAGGGGCAGAAGACCCCCCCCCAAAAAAAACACCCATTAAGGGGAGGGGGAGACTCACGCGCCAGTTGCAGCAGTTGCTTGTTCTTGCCGGGATTCTGGGGGCCGGGATTCCCCCCGCGCACTTTTGGTTTCTTCCTAGGATGAAGAAGACAAAACACCCGTGTTCCGTTTAGTGACGGCCCGTCACAGGCAGGCCTCGCCTCGCCACCACTCGTTTAGTGTCCGTTCGAAGTTACGACGGCACGGGAAAGGTGACTGACGACCGGTCCTCGCACTTATGACCGTCGCAGCACCCCTGCGGTCACAGCAGGGCGTATAACGGAGCAAGATTCGCTTAAGAAAAGTCTCGCTTAGCAACGGAAATGTTGGGCGGGTAAGTCCAGGAACTACCTACCTGGACCGTTGCTTCACCTGTCCTCAAGGTGTGTGGACTTCAACTCCCAGAATTCCCCTGCTGGCTTTGAATATGCCCAAGGTTGAGGAATGCAGGTCCAAAGAGACACCCTCTGCAGGCCTGGGCTCAAATTTTAGGGGGGGAGGGCTCCTTTTGCACATGCTCAGGAACCCCACACCCTTTCAGAGATTCTCATCTGAAATCCCCGTTCCGATTGCGGTCGTAAGTTGAGGACAATCTGTAATTCTTTCCGGGGCGTCTCGGTTGTGTCCCTGATCCCGTTGACGCGACTCCCCTGGGGTCAGTGAGAGAGCTGGGGTGGGGGTCCAGCTGCCCCCTCCCCTTTCCAGGCTCTTCTGCTTGCTGGGATGGCGTTAGCCCAGCGGTTCTCCACCTGTGGGTCGGGACCCCATTTGGGGTCGAACGACCATTTCACGGGGGTCGCCCAACAACGCAGTCCGCCATTTTTTTCCCCCTTTTCCTTAGCTGTGCTCCTCCCTTTTATTCTATTGGCTTTTGAAAGCCAATAGAATAGACTCTCTTGAATAGAGTCTAATTCTATTGGCTTTCAAAAGCCAATAGGAATTGTCCAGGCTGTCTCTGCCCTGCTGAGCCCGCCAAAAGTCCCATTCTGCAAACGGTGCTGCACCAGTTGAGTAGTCCTCGACTTACAACCTGTTGGGGGTTGCGGCATTAAAAAGGTTGAGAACCACTGCATTAGCCCTACTTGTTGCAGCCTGGACAGAAAGGG